AGCTGATCACTGAGCTTCTCTGCAGTCCAGAGGAATAGGCAGGTCCTAATCATCTGCCTGGGCAGCTGGTACCGCCATTGTCCCTTTTCCCAATGACAAAGCCAAAGCTTGGACAGGTTACATGAGAAGCCCAGGGTTACACAGCGGGTGAGAAGCTCAACTGGGATTTGAAATCACATCGGTCTGTCTTCCGAGCTCAAGATCCTTCATCTGCATTTTGTGCTCTGGAACAGCCTGACTACATACATGCTGAGAATATCAGAACCAGGATGTGCTCAAGCAGTCATCTAATCCAGCACCTTCGCTTCCTAATGAAGGGAAGGGCTTGCTCAGGAACATCAGTTCAGAGGGAGGGCTTTACTCTGAGTCCCTTGACCCTCAGCCCTTGTCTGTCCCTATGCACTTGGCACCTTTACAGAACTTGAACTGTGTGCTTGTTGTGAGAACTATTCCTTTATTTCCCAATTTTTCTGCAGCCCAAGAGGTTGTGGGCCTGGGTTCAAATACCAGCTCTAAAGGAAGGGGAAGTTGCATATACAAGTATGTGTGTGTGTATATATATAATTATGTAAATACCTGTATATGCATAGACTCTCTGGAACGATGTATAAGAAACTTGATTCACTGGTTTGTCTCCAGGGAGGGTGTCTGGGTGGAAGGAACTGAAGTGTATGTCTTTTTTGGACCTTTGCACTTTAAAATTTTATGAACAATAGTTTTCTGAGTTTAAAAAAGACTGTCACCAAGACCGATGTGGCACAGTGGATTGAGTGCTGGCCTGCAAACCAAATGGTGACAACTTCAATTCCCAGCCAAGGCACCTGCCTGGGTTGTGAGCCAGGTCCCCAGTTGAGGGTGTATGAGAGGCAACCACACATTGATGTTTCTCTCCCTCTCTCCCTCTCTTCCCCTCTCTCTAAAAATAAATAAATAAAATTTTAAAAAAATTAAAAACCCTGTCTCTTCCACCTATTCACTGTGTATTCTTGAAAAAAACACTTAACTTCTCAGAGTTAAACCATTTCATCTCATTATGGTCCCCTGGTGGGCTGGGCTGTGAATTCAGAGGGCTAGCAGCAGATGGGCCCTTCAGTGGGTGCTGTGGGACCAAGCTCAGAGGGCCTTACCCTGCTGGACTTATCCCGATATTTGGGGGCTCCTGGGCCAGGGGGAGGGGCCGGCAACACCCTAGGAAGAAGGGAGCTGCAGCACAAGGAGTGGCAAAAGGGGTGGGTACACTGATGGAAGAGCCTTCTTTAAGAGAAGGTTGGTTAGTAGAGGAAGAAAACGATTTGATAAAACAAATTGTCTGCGTGTAACTCCCTCTTTTTTCCCTTCCAGTCTCCTCCTTGCAGTCTAGAGGGGCGAGAGGATTCTACCTGTCTTTGGAAGGCTTTTGAGCCTCACTAGTTGCGTCGGGCTCTGTCCTTGGTCCTGAAGTGATGCCTGAGCCAGTTCGTGGTTTCTCGGGACCAGGGACGCTGATCAGCGTGACACTTCTCTCAGTAATTCTGAACCACGTGAGAACTGTTATTTTCAGCCTTGAAAAACATCAATGCTATTTGCCTCTTGGAGCCCTCCTCTCTCTAGTGTGCTGGCTGCACCCACTTCCCAAGAGTTCTAGTTATAGCTGCCCCGTGCCCTGTACCAGGCCTACGGGACACACCCGCCAACCAGGGCCCACACGTTCAGTGAGCTCCCACTCCGTTTGCTAGCCCTCTAAATTTATGGCCCACCCCTGTCACCTGATGTTAGATGAGAGATAAATGATTTGCTGAACAAGCAGAACCCTAACTTGGTTTCCCAATGTAAATTGCTTCATTCATGCATTTTTGAGAGTTGTATCATTTCTACCACCCACAAAGTTATTTTTACTTCTCGAAGTGGTAAGGAAAGCAACCCTAACGTATGGCCACCACACTTGAGAAAGCTGCATGAACTGAAAACGACCCTTCCAAAACCCTTCTAACCTGGGAGGCCTGGGGACTCAGCAGGAGACTGAAGTGTGACAGCTTGATCTGCTCTGGTCTCAGAGAAGAGAGAAAGTGAGTGCTCGGGGGTTGTCATATTTTAGGGGAAATCCCAAGAGGCAAGCAAGAGAGTGGCAGCCAGTCCTCCATGAGATCCCAGCTGCCGTATCTTGACACAATGTGGGAAAGGGGGTGAAGAACACATACTGCGCCTGGCCCCCGCCTAGCTCCCCACCTCACTTTCCTCTCCCCGCACCCATGCATCCCAGAAGAACACCTTCTGATCCCTATCAGCAGCTGCGGAATGAGATCATGTCTGGTCTGTTACATGGATCACAATGAAGAAGGAGTGAGCAGGAGGTGGGTTGGGGATGCACGAAGTGGGCAAGTAAACCTTAGACTGACATTCTTTTCAGCCTGGGGAGAGAGGAGAGCCCCGCGCCCCGCCCATTTTCTGAGCATAGCATTCTCTCCTTCTCTCAGTGGGAGGGAGATGGTATGGGAGAGAGAAGGTAGCATATAAAGGCATCCAGGCCTGTGGGGAGGAGGGCTGTGGGTTTAGGGGGTGGGCATTGGCAATAGGATTCCATGTCCATCCTTGGAACCAGGGACAAATTCCTGTCCTACTAAGCCATTCCTCCTCTCCCGGTCTCATTCCTCACCTCACAAGCTCTGAGAGTGAATCCTGGCTGCTCCTTCAGTTCACTGTGTGATGCTGGGCAAGTCACTAAACTTTGTAAAATGGACACGCTGGTCCCCACCAGGGATGTATTGCGCGGATTTGGTGAGGCGAGGTAGGGGAGGCACACGGGAGACCCAGGCGTGAGGCCACCCTTGCTGCCCCACACCGCGCGGCGCTCCCCCCAACCCCCACAGGCCGGCACCCTCACCGATTCTCAGCCACCAGGATCTGCTCCAGCAGGCGCGCGGCCTGCACCCGCGTCTCCAGCTCCGTCGCCTGCAGCAGCCGCAGCAGCAGGTCGAGGCCGCCGTCCAGGCGGATAGCGTCGCAGAGACCCTGGGCTACTTCGCGGCCCACGGCTGGCAGCAGCCAGGCTTCCTCTACCAGCTGGAAGACCTCGGCCAGGCCGGCGCCCACGGCCCGCGCACCACTCGCCTGCTTCAGCGCCGACAGCGCCTGCTGCAGCTCGGGCAGCGCGCGCTCCAGGGCGCCCTGCACCTCGGTGCCCACCCCTGGAGACACCTCGCGGGGCCCGCGGCCGCCCGCTGCCCACCAGGGACCCGCGACGCCGCCCCCGTCCGGCCCCGGCACGGCCAGCCGGTCGGCGCCCGGCCCTGGGCCTGACATGGCGAAGAAGCGGCACAGCTTGTAGGCAGAGAGAAGCAGCGTCAGGACCATCGGAGCGGGGCTGCTGGGGACATCCCTGGTCTGGAGGGGCGGGGCCGAGCGGAGCGACCCGGACCTTGGAAAAGGGGGGCCCGAGAGAAGCTCCAGGGGAAGAAGATGCAGGAGGGAGGGATGGAGAGAAGGGTATCAGGCAAGGGTGCTGGCCAGAAATTTGGGGAGGAGTGAGGGCGGGATCTGGGACGTAGCGGTTGGGAAAGAGGACGCGGGCCCAGATACAGGGGATGGGGGTGGGGGGTGGAAGAGGAAGCTGGAAGGCGACGTTTTGGACCCAGACGCCAGAGGGAGAAGGAGGCAGAAACCGGAACAAAGCAAGGCTCCAGCTCAGGCTTAGCCCGCAGAGGCTTGGCCGGCAGCCCCGCCCCTGAGAAACCAGGACCAGGAGCCGACGCCCCGCCTCTCGCCTCCCGGGGCTCCGCCCCTGCCTCCTGCGTAGCACCACCCCCAAGGCTTCCCCCGCCAAGGCCACGCCCTGGTCAGGCCTGTCCACCTAGTCTGGTCCCCTGACCCTTCCCCTGGGTGCAGGGGGTCCTAGTGGTTGGAGAGCGAGAAAACTGACTCGGTTTCAACCGTGACACTGGTATGTGCGGGCAAGCAGCACCGTTGAGTGTGCCCCCTCCCCTACTAGTAGTTACAGTGATCATAATAACGATTCTGTACAACTCTTGAGGCCCTTTATGCCTGTTTCCCAATTAAACCTTACAACCTGCCTATGCGGTAGAAATTAGTGTTCCCATTTAACAAACGAACCGACTTAGGCCCATGGAAAAGAGATCGCCAAAGTCACACTCCCATCTGATTACAGAGCAGAGAAAAATCAGCTGCAAACTTTGAGGTCACTTCCTCCAGGTGGTGGGAAGACTTCAGGAGTTCTGTGAACCCCTGAAAGTGGGCACAAAATCAGGCATTCTGTGCTAGGGCATTTTCTGGCTAGAGGGACCCCACTTCCACCAGAGTCTAACAGCGTGGGGAACTAGACAGCTCTTTACCTGCGGGGAGACAGAGGGTGGGGACAGGGGTGCCCTGCTTAGGAGCAATGAGTTAGTGGAAGACTCAGAAATCAAATCCTGTCCAAAGGATTAATACTCACCCAATTTACTGTGTTGTGAAGGCCAGCTTGGGGAAATCAATCCACCCAAGAGATGAAGCCAGAAACAAAACTTTGTTCTTTTATGGTAAAAAGATTTCCCCAGGGTGCTTACCAGCATTCCTCCTAGCCTCCCCCCTTCATTGCCCTAAATATACAATGGGTGGGTGACCCACTCAGCCAGGGATGCGCCTGATCAAACAGATCATGGATCAATACGATTCATGGAGAATGAAGCTGGGGCTACTCCAGGCACTGGACATTTTTTTCTGCTTAACTTGTGTACTCTCCCAACACCCCATGAGGCAAGGATTATTAGTCTCATTTTACAAAAAAAAAAACAAAACAAAAAGACAACCAAAGCAAAACAAAAAACACTCAGGCAGTCAATCTAAGGTCACACAGCCAGTAAGTGGCAGAGTGGGCCTTCTTTCTGCCTTGCAGACCCACTGCGCTACTCCCCCTCTGAGATGGCCCTGAGCTTGGCAAGGGTCCTGTTTGCAGCTCTCCCAGGCCCAGAGTTTCGGGAATGTGACCTTGTGCTATAGCAACCTCTGGGGGTCAGGGCACCAGGAGCTGGGCTGGAGGTTGAACAAACAGAGCAGCAGAAAAGGTAGCTGTTCTCTGGTTCTCTTCCTCTGTCTCCTGCCTCTCCCTCCCTTTCCCAGGCATCAGAGCAGAGAGCAGGAGAGCACAGAACCCAGCACACCAGGCTCACGGCTAGAAGCCCTGCCATGGCACCCTCAAGGCCCCTTCTGATGCTGGCACTGCTGACATTGTTTGCTCTGTCTGACCAAGGTGCAAGAGGGTGTTGGTAGGCAGTTGGGCCAATGTAGGGTGGGCGAGGGTGGTCAGGATTTAGCTGTGCCAACTGATAACCCCTCCCCACAGAGTCATGCAAGGGCCGCTGCCTCGAGGGCTTCAACACCGACCGGAAGTGTCAGTGTGACGAGCTGTGCTCTTACTACCGGAGCTGCTGCGCTGACTACATGGCTGAGTGCAAGCCGAAAGGTGCGTTCCGAACAGCTGGGTGAGGCTGGGGTCCCCTCTGCAGCTGGAGACTCACCACCATCCACCCTGCCTGCAGTGACTCGCGGGGACATATTCACTCTGCCAGAAGATGAGTACGGGGCCTTCGACTATTTCGAGAGGACCAAAGATGACACCAGTGTCTCTGTGCAGCCAGAGGACACCACCCTCAGCTCTGGCGGGCACACTGAGTCTGAAATGACTCCAGAGCAGGCAACTTTGCAAGATCTCGAGGAAAAGGTCCCGGGACCAGAACAGGGGGACCCAGCGCCTGAGAGTACTGGTCAAGGGATCTCCGAGTCCTCAGCAGAGGAGCTGTGCAGTGGGAAGCCCTTTGATGCCTTCACTGACCTCAAGAATGGCTCCCTCTTTGCCTTCCGAGGTGACTCCAGGGGCAGTTCGTGGGGGGTGGGGGTCCGCTCCAGGAACATGCTCTCCCTCACACAGCCTCCTCCACTCTAGGGAAATACTGCTATGAGCTGGATGAAAAGGCAGTGAGGCCTGGGTATCCCAAGCTCATCCAAGACGTCTGGGGTATAGAAGGTCCCATTGATGCTGCCTTCACCCGCATCAACTGTCAGGGGAAGACCTACCTCTTTAAGGTGCCAGGCCCGGGGGCTGTGGGTCAGGGTTGAGGGTACCCAGGCAGGAGTTATGGCAATTGTACCCAGGACCAGGGTTGGCAAGAAGTCTGGACACCAGCCTGTGGCCCCCGGCTCGGGCTTTGTGAAGAAAGGGAAGCACAAGATTCCATGTCCTGGGTGACAAGCCTAGAACTGAGACTGCTGCCTTGGGTGGGGGGCTCTGTCTCCATGCCACCTCCCCACCCCCTTCCTCTTTCCCTACCCCTTAGGGAAGTCAGTACTGGCGCTTCGAGGATGGTGTCCTGGACCCCGAGTTCCCCCGCAGCATTTCTAGCGGCTTCAAGGGCATTCCGGACAATGTGGATGCAGCCTTAGCCCTCCCTGCTCACAGCTACAGTGGACGAGAGCGGGTCTACTTCTTCAAGGGTACTCAGGGGGCGCAGGGGAGAGTGAGCAGGCAGTGGAGCAGCCTCTGTGTTTTCCTCATACTCCACTGGGGACAGGCCTAGATGATACCCCCACAACCCACCAGGAGCTTCTAACTTCAACAGCCTCTGGGCTTTCCAGCCTTACTCATGCCCACCGCCTCCCCAGGGAAACAGTACTGGGAGTACGAGTTCCAGCACCAGCCCAGCCAGAAGGAGTGTGAAGACAGCTCCCTGTCAGCCGTGTTTGAACACTTTGCCCTGCTTCAGCGGGACAGCTGGGAGAGCATCTTTGAGTTTCTCTTCTGGGGCAGATCCCCTGGTATGGAGGGAGGACGGGTCTTGTTTGCCATTCAGGAGGGCTGGGGTCCCGGGGCAGGAGGAGGACTGGGCTGGCCAGAGGGGGCTGTGACTTCAGGGCTATTGATCAAAAGCTGTTTGCTCAGGCCAGACTTTGAATGTGTTTTGACCTGTGGGGGAAGGCTTGCCTCCACCCGGACCCCATGCCTTGGACTTTGCCCAGCACAGCCAAGGGCACAGCCAGGAGGAGGGGTTGTGGCTGAGGCAAGTGGGGAGGGATAGGGTGGAGGGAGGCCAGGGGAAAGGGCATGGAACAGCGAGGCAGAAGGCCAGGGTGCTGGGCTCTGCCACAAGCTTGCTGTATGTCCTTGGGCAAAGCACAACATGGCACCCGATGAACTCTAAAGGCCTTGTTGAGGGCAGGGTACTGGCTCTCAAGGCTCCCCATTAACCCCTTCCTTGCCACAGGTGGTGCCACAGAGCCCCGGTTCATCAGCCAGGACTGGCATGGCGTGCCTGAGCAAGTGGATGCGGCCATGGCTGGCAGGATCTACATCTCAGGCCCGGCCCCCCGCTCCTCCCGGCTCCAGAATGCTAAGCCTAAGCGTCGCAGCCGTAAAAACTACCTTTCACACCGTGACCGCAGCCGTGGCCACAGCCAGAAGTCCCTTCGGAAGTCCCGTTCAACCTGGTTGTCCTTGTTCTCCAGTGAGGAGAGTGACCTTGGAAACTACAACGATAATTATGCCTGGCTTGTGCCATCCAAATGCGAGCCCATCCAGAGCCTCTACTTCTTCTCAGGAGGTGGGAGCCCCTGCCACCGCTGTAGCTGGTTTGCTGTGGGTCCTCCCTGCTCTCTCTGGTGCCCCATGAGCTGAACACAGCCCTTGAGCAGTGACTCCAGAAAGCCAGGCCAGGAGTCCTGGGCTGCACTGTGATGTTTACTTATCCCTTCAGGAGAGACCTGGGTCTTCTTTCTCAGGGCAGGTGTGGGCAGGGCCAGACTGGGTCTAACACGCTCTCTCCCAACCTCTCTTCCAGACAAGTACTACCGAGTCAACCTTCGCACTCAGCGAGTGGACACTGTGAGCCCTCCCTACCCACGTAACATCGCCCAGTACTGGTTGGGCTGCCCAGCCCCTGGTCACTAGTAGGAGTCCGAGCTAGTGTAGCTGGCCCTCCTCTACTGCTCCCTCGCCCAACCTCCTCCTCCTCCCAGCTCAATAAAGATCCCTTGGCCCCGAGTTTAAGACTACTGTCCTGACTGGGGCAGACAGGCAGGAGGCAACGACCTTCCTGGGTAAAGAGGGGAAGCAGGGCTGTCAGGATGGCTTGGAGCAGGGGACAGAGAAGAGCCTCTCTGTGTCCAGCCCATGTCTGGCTCAGACGCTCTTCGCGAACTGTAAAAGCTGTGGGCCGGGGAAGGTCTCACGAGCGCTGGCACCCTTCCGGAGCTGAGCAGCCCCCAACAACCCACCAGTATCTAAGCAGGGGCTTGAACTTCTCTGATGATGACAGGAGTTACCAAGCGTCCCCTCTCAACTCTGAGCTTGGAGTTGACTTCTAGGGTCTTGGAGGAGAGAGAAGGGGTGGAAGAGATGGGGTTCTGGATGTTTTCTGGCCATCCTGAGCCTGAAATGCGGTTAGCTCAGACACTTGAGTCCCTAGGGAACTGGTCACTGTGCTCCCCTGAACCCACCCCTAGGACAAATACTTCTTTGAGGACTCTGACCTGAGTGTGGGGCGCAGGGCACTGAGGTTAGGAGAAATAGGGAGGGCAGGGACTCAAAGGAAGTTCAAGTGTGCCTACTCCTCTCAGAAGGTGGCCCAGGAGACTCCCAAGGACAAGTACACTGTAAAAACCAACATCTTTCTTAAAACCCCTTCATTGTACCTGTGGAACCACCTCTGGTTTCAGGGTCCTGGAGTCTAGGAAGCCCGCCCCCACTTTTTTGGGCCGGGGAGAAAGGCTTAGATGCAGGCAAGGCTCTAAAGCAGACCTGAGGGGGACCTGGTGGCAACAGCTGCTCCCCAGCCCTTCTGAGGGCGGGGTGGCTCCAGCTCATCTGCTGTCCCCTGTCATCCTCTACACCCTGTCCAGCTGAGAAGTCCAGCCCTCAGCCGTGGGACAAGACTTCACCCACTCTCCCCTGAAGGCGGCCAGTCTCAGGGTTGAGTTCCCGGGAGGGGCAGCTGGAGCGCGGCAGAGAGGGATCGCTTTGGCTTCCTGGAAGGTGTCCTGGGAGGATTTTCCCAAGGTGCCAAGATTTCAGACACAGACTGCCAGAGCTTGCAGTTCTAGGAGGGGGCCTGAGATCAGCTTCCTTTGTGAAGCCCTGAGGGAGCAAAGGCCCCAACTTTTGCCCTACCCACGTCCTGCCAAGTCCCAACACTGCGCCTGGCCAGCCATCCCTCCTCCTGGACTTCTCTGTCTCCCTCAAGCTGGACAGTAAACCTCTCTCTTTCTGGAGGCGGGGCCAGCCCTCTGAGCTGGATAATCACCAAGTGGAGGAGTCTGGCGCGGGCACAGCCTCGGCCTGGCCCTCTGGCTCCTCGCTCTCTGCCAGCTCCATGGCCAGCCCCGTGGGTGCATCTCCAGCAGGTGATCTGGTGGGAAAAGGGTGGGCAGGGGAAGAACACAGGGAGGGTGTGACGGGGGAAATTTGGGTGGGGAGTAGATGCTTCAGGGTCTGTTGGGGCCTTTGAGGTTAGGGGGAGCTCTTAAAGGGAGTCTTGGCCTGACCCCCACCCCGGCCCACAGGCCATGCCAGTGGGCTGGGTCCGCACCGGAGAAAGCGCACCACGTTCAGCAGAGGGCAGCTGCTGGAGTTGGAGCGGGTGTTTGCAGCACTGCCCTACCCTGATATTGGGACTCGTGAGGATCTGGCCCGAGTCATCTGCCTTCCTGAGGCCAAGATACAGGTGAGCTGTGACCCCTCTCGTGGTAGGGGCACTCTCATACAGCCAGCTCCTGGGTTTGACCCACAGCTCCTTCTCCCCGGGGTATCCTGCCTCCAGGTTCTGCTTGTCCTGATCTGGGGGGAGGGGGTGCTGGAGCCAGGAGAGAACCTTTCTTCTTCCCTTACCAGGTATGGTTCCAGAATCGTCGGGCCAAGAGAATCAAGAATAGGAAGCCGGGAAGCCTAAGCCCCAGGCCTGAGCCCCCCCAGAAACCCCATCCTTTTCCAGGTACCCTCCAGCAGTCCCAGGAGCCCCAAACACTAGGCCAGCTTCCGCCACCCAGCAGCACACCTCAGTGCCCTGCGGGGTGTCAGCGTGCCTCCTGTCCGGCTCCAGGCTTGGGTCCAGGGCAGGGCCGGGCGGGCATTACAGCTGCATTTCCACTGGGGTCAGCTGGAGCTTCAGGGGTCCACCTTTTTTCAGAGCAAGCTACTCCCCAGACCTCACTGGGCAGCCTGTCCGACCTCATCCTTGCCTCGGCCATTGTGACCAGCCCAGATCACTCCTAATCTAGGCCCAGAACTCGCAACCCCTGCCCCCTCTAGCTCCTGTAGCCCATCTGCCCCTTAGGACTGAACACACCAGAAGTGGATCCCTGCCCCCTCTTTTGCACAAGGGTGTTCTCTTACGGGAAGGAAGTTTAGCTCAGGGACCCCTTCTTTCCATTGTCCTCCAGGTCAGCCTACATGTGAGTCCTATGGAGTGACTGGGGCCTGGCTTCTGCTACCCAGGACCCTGCACCTCCTGGACCACATGCCCATTGTCTTGGCAGGGAGGACCTCAGAGGGGTGTGGCATGGGGCTGTGTTTTCCACCTCTCCTGCCAGACCTGATCCCCAATTCTCACCCACGCTGAAGACACCTCCTCCCTCCAAGAGAATGGGCAGCTGCCCCTCACCTTCAGGCCAGCAACTAACTGCTAAATGAGATAGGAGATGAGAGTGTGCTGACCCTAATTCCAGGCTGCAAGGGACCAACCCTTTCAAAGTTGAGGGTCTCTCCGGACCTCCTACCACCTGGACAAATTAAATCTGAACCACGGATCTGAAGATGAAGCGATATTAAAGTAATAAAGTAGAAATAGGACGCTGGAGCTTACACTGGTTTAATTTTCACCCAGATCAGTTTGGCCGCCCTCCGACAGGGGCTGTGGAGACAACCCGCTGGATTTAGGATGGGGTAGGGTAGTGTGCGCAAGGCAGCATCAGGTTTCCTTTCGATGTCATCTGTAATACCAACTAATCTCCAAATAAAACCCAAACTCTGTACCTTAATCTGGATTGTCGTGTGATGCAAATGAATGGGGACAAGGGCTGTTGGCTTTTGAAATTTATCTCCATCACTTAATCCCTAAATCATCAGAATCCACACGGATTCTGGGTGGGAGGTATTATCCAGGCTTCTGCTGGGATTAGTTAAGGGGGACAGTTAATTGAAGAGCTTAGGGCTCTTGCTGACAGATCCTGGGGAAACGGGAACCTCTGCTGACAACCCCGGCTCTGGATCCCACTGGTTCCGGGCCAGTCCAGCTGCCTCCACTTGTGGAGCTGCTCTGCTTCTGAGAGAAAAGCATGGAGTCTGCAGTCGGGTTCAAATCCTGATGTTGCTATGTAACTTTGCAGATCTCTCAAAGTCTACGAGCCTGAAAATGGGGATAATACTGGTCTCTTCTCCGTTTTGGAAATGAGAGCAATAACATAGGTGAAGGGCTTCATGTGTGTGACACGTGGAAGCTGTCAACACAACTTCATTCCCCTCCCCCCTCCATAGAGCAGACCACGAGAACCTGGGGAGGCCAAACTTCTATTCCTCTGGCCTCCTGCCGAGCACTCCCATTTCTCCTTGGGAAGCCCTGGACCCAGACTGCGCCCGACAAAGCATGGTCTGGTGAGGCAGAGGAAGTGACTACTGAGAGCAGACAGAGTTCCATTTTCTGTTTCTGAACTGTGCCCCTGCAGACAGAAACCACCTTGCACAGCGGCCATTTGCTTGGTGGGAACTAGGTTGCGTACCTCTCTCTCCCTAGGAGCCCGCAGTGCGTGGCCCACAAAGGTTTCAGTAAGTGCTCAATGCCACAGAAGCCTTTTGGCTTGTGAGTAGGGGTTGGGATCAGATAAAGACCACATTCTAATGAAAGGTGTGTGTGTGGAGCGACCACAATCTCATCATGAGGAGGAAAGGGGGTGCCCTGGCCCACAGAGTTCAGCACAGGTAAGTATGGCCAGGATTCTCCACAAAGCGTTTAAAAAAAAAGTTGTTTTAAAATTTATTTTAGGGGAGTGGGCAGCAGGAGAGAAACGATATGTTGTTCTGGTTATTTATGCCCTCCCCACTCCCCAGAGACCCCCTATGTGCCCTGACTTGGGACTGAGTCCACGACCTTGGCATATGGGGACGACACTCTAACCAACTGAGCTACCCGGCCAGGGCCTCCACAAAGCTTTTTAAACTTAATCTTAAAACACTGTAAAATGCCACCTGCATTTTTTCCCTCAGTTTTCATTTCTGTAAACCAACAATAGAAATCCTCCAGATTTCTCAACAAAGTGATCTATGGTGAACAGAAGGGCCTAAGACCTCCCTCTCTCATGTAGAACACTGCTCTAAGGGGCTCAGACTTGCGATGTATCAAGAAGAAACTGGCAAACATTGTTGAAGAAATGTCTACTGAGCCAATTTCTAAGAACAGCAGAGTGGCCGGGGAGGGGCGGGAGAGCCCACAGAGGCTCATGCAGTGAACAAAGGAAAAGAGACAGAGTCCGCCATTAGGGACAGACCCTGCACCATTCTCAGAACTATGAAAATCCTTGGGGTTTTGTGTTGTTACAATTGAAATAAAAACCAATGAATACAGTACATATTTATTCGATAAATAACCAATGTTGATGCCATTTTTTAAAGCGCCTTATACAGATACTGTCATTACACCACCAATCTAAGTTCTAGGAGTTTAACATTATACAGAGACTTCAGGACTATCCAGGAGTCTTGGGCTCCATTTAACAGAGGAAGGACCGCAGTGGGCCATTTGATCTCTCTTGGCCTCAGTTCTGTCTCCTGGACAAGGGCCCTAAGACCATTTCCTTCTCCATACTCAGAGTTGTTGTCAAGACCAAAAGCGACCATGTAAAACAACTGTCAACTGTGAACATTCACATACCATTTTTTAAACTCACCCAAACAAGTTTAAGAATCCATATAAAACATCCTATATTAGGCTCATGTATAAAAATATGTATACATATCATGTGCACGTTCATTCATATTCATAAATACAGTTAAATCTGAAAGTCGTTCCTGTCCCTCCCTTTATTAGTTGAGACAATCCACACAGTAGGTATACTCTGCCTACAAACACAACAAGTACAAGGAATTCTGCAATTGAAAGCAGATACACTGTTGCTACCTAAATTGTGTGGGTTTTTTTAGAGATTTTATTTATTTATTTTTAGAGAAAGGGGAAGAGAGGGAGAATGAAAGGGAGAGAAGCGGTAACGTGCGAGAGATACATCGGCCAGTTGCCTCTCACACGCTCCCAACCAGGGCCCTGGCCCTCAAACCAGGCATGTGCCCTAACTAGGAATGAACCAATGACCCTTTGGTTCGCAGGCCTGCGCTCAATCCCCTGAGCCACACCAGCCACAGCCAAAATTGTTTTCATTTTTGGAGGCAGATAAAGGAGACAAGAAGGTGGGAGGTTTAAGGAGGGCTGGTGGGTGGTAGGCAGGCAGAAGCATATTGAAAACCTGAAAAAAGCAAGCAGAAGGAGGAAGATGAAGATAGAAACTAAGATTCCAAAAAGGTAGCTGCCTTATTTTCAATTCCACCATCCTGTACCCCATCCTTCTCTTATTTGGTATCCTCTGTTCTGTACTTCTTCCAGCATAACTCAGAGAAAGGAAATCCTTTGTGCGTTCTTGGAGGCTTCAGAACTAAGTTATAGGTCAGCATCAAGGATGCGTGGAGCAAGGATGACAACTGGTTTGTGCACTTGGGCAAGTTCGCGCAGTATGATTTACTTCTGGGAAAGCCTGGATTCTATTTACTCCGGATGGAAAGCCCCGGTGCCAGCAGTGCCCCAAATAGACGGCAGATGGGCATGAAGATCAGGAGGAGACACTGACAGACCAGCTCTTTTCTGTTGTTGTCTGAGTCTCCTCTAATTGCTCCCTCTGGCAACTGACAGACTATGGGGCTCCCCACAGAAACAGCAGGTAGACTTGGTTTGGCCCTGACTCACCGGGGCGGAGGACAAAGAACTGGATGGGTTGACTGAGTCAGTGATTGCCAGCTGAGAGCCTGCAGCCCCTCCAAACCCTCTCCGGTCTCTGATGGTGAAGTACCAGTTATATCTCTCCCAACTCGCCTTCCATCGCACGCACCATGACGTAGAGCTCGGCCAGGCCCACCACAGAGGCGACGATCAATGCAGCCAGCACCCGCTGGGGAGGGAGAGAACCAGGCCGTGGGGATGGAGGCCAGCCACCAGCTCTGCAGCCTCCAACACCTCTAATGAGGATGAAGAGGACCCCAACCCAGCCCATAAGTTGCGAGGAAGAGAAGAAAAGAGGATCTGGGTTTTCCTGAGTTATTTTCTACCCCCAAGACTACTCAAAAGCTCAAATGGTCCCCTTGTTTATTCCATAAATATTTGTTTCATACCTAACCTATGCAAGGCATTTTCACATATTTCCTTCCCTTTCCCACTAACACCCTCATCTAGAGCATCCTACCCTGACTGCAGCGCCGACTCACCGAGGCCATTTCTGTGAAGATATACTGGCTTCCAAGGTAAGTGCAGACGAAGGCGGCTGCCACCGTGACGATGAAGTTGAAGATGGTGATGACCAGAGCCTTCACTGACCTCACTTTGGGGAAGAACCCAGGGAGGAAACCTTAGGTCACCATCCTCCAGGAGGCCCTCTTCTCTCAGGGCTGCCTTCCCATCAGCTGGGCTTCCCTCAGGCAGCAAACCTGAGTAGCTTAGGCGCATGCCCAGAGCACTGGGGTAGGAAAGAGTGCCATGCCTGCCCCTTCCCAGGGAGGGACTTCAGCACCTGCCCTCCTAGTATCTCACCTTCCTTGCCCAGGTCATTCAGAATCCCACGACGCCGGAAATCCTGGGACAAAGGAAAAGCAAATGATTTCAGAATGAGAAGTAGCTCAGAGGCAGCCCAGAGAGTACCCATTTGTTGGTCTGGGCTCAGCCCTTCTTACTCCCCAAAACATTAACTTTCTTCTCCATGGGTTCTCTCGTCTGGAACCAGTTGGATTGTTTTCTGGACAAAGATTAAGCATTTCAAAGAAAAGACAGAGGCTTCCGGTACCCACCTACCCCACCACCGCCCCAGGGCTGGAGCATGGAGAAGGGTAGGGAGCCCTGTCGAAAGAAAGGCTCTCATGCTCATTTCATACCTCCATCACTTTTAAGAATCTGTTACCATCTAAGCCCAGAAACTCAGTGAATAAGTTTGGAATTATATTTGGTTTGTATGTAACAGAAAACTTTTTTGCTCCCTGAATGGTTTACCAACCATTCCATGCTGTTTCTTTCCCCTGTGCCGCTTCCCAGTGCAGCGCCCTGCTTTCCGCAGCGACTCAGTCCCTGTGTTGAAGAGCAGGGCCTTACCCGACAGGTTACATTGTGGGTGATCCGTTTGTACTCCTCATTGGCCAATTGTATCTTAATTTTCTCCAGACGGGCAACCAGCTCTGGGTTCTAAAGCAGAAAAATCAAGTAAGAAGAATGACATTCCCAGCTTGGTAGAAAGCATGTCACAATCATTGGTTTCGCGGGGCAAAGCACTGCTAAGGCTACCAGGGGACCCACGTACCAGCTCTGCCTCCGCTGCTTTGGAAATTGCCTTTTAATGGCTCTGTTTTCCAAGCTGTCAACAAGGAGGTCAATACCTGGTTCCCCCACCCACTCCAGCTCCCAAAAGTTGACCCATAAGTCTGGATGTATCGCAAATAAGCTCAACTCAGCCAACATCCACTCTCACAAATATATCCCTTACGTACCCTAGGAGGCTTCACCACCTCTGGGAGATAGATTTCGCTGCCTTCTAGGAGCTCATGAAGGTACAGTGTGGAACCTGGGAAGAAAATATGTTCACAAACGTAATGATCCATAAAGCTGAGTTTAAGGATTAAGATCAGAGAAGGGTCTAGTCTTTCAACTAAAATAATGCATGGCCATTTCTATACCGAACCATTGAACTGCAACCTTTTGGTGTACGGGACGACGCTCCAACGACCGAGGCCACCTGGCTTGTAACGGGGCTTAAAAGGAAGAAACTGAACCTGTGAGGTGGTACTGGGTTAGAACTTGGACTTCGTCAAGGGTCAGGTGGGTCTATCTGGACCTGGAAGTGGGGGTTCTCCATAAAGCAGAAACTGTACAAGTAAATTTTGTTACCCACGAAGAACTCCCATGAAAGTTGTGAAGGGAGTGATTTGCCCTAGGATTTCTGAGGTGACATTTGGGTTGGCTCGGTGAAGGAGATGATGGATAAAGATGCTAGGCGTGGGGAAACGGCCTCAAGAGTAAAGCCTCTGGAAAAGAGGAGGCGACTCCGTACTGGAGAATGGGCCTCACCCCTTTCTCTGAGGTACTGGTGCAGATCTCGAATCAGGCGAAAGGAAACCAGGCGTGCGGGTCCACTGGGGCGATCACCGCCCTTGTGCTTCTTCTCCAAAGCGGCCTCAAGCTCTGCCCGCAGCTTCCGGGGCAGCTCCTCTTGCTCCAGCTCCCCGCCGGGGGCCAGAGCACGCACCAGCCGCTCTCCAGCAATCAAGTGAGACGCCATTTGTAGCCCACTCTACGATCAGGTGACTCCGAGGGGACTTCCGCCAGCCGTGCGCCGGAAGGAACACGGAGCGTGCCGGGTGGGACAAGGCCGGGCAGAGGGCCAAGGGGGCGGGACGCGGCGCGGGGCAGTGTGGGGCAGGGGCGGGACGCCGCCGGGCCGTGGGTCGGGCCCAGTGTCAGCAGCCTAGCAGGCGCTCGTGGGGGACATGGCGGGCTGTGTCGCCCGGCGGGCCCTGGCCGTGGGCAGCCGCTGGTGGTCCCGGTCGCTGACCGGGGCCCGGGGGCCAAGGCAGCTCTGTGCGGCGGGTGGAGCTGGGCCCTTCCTCTCTGCGGTGACCACGACGCGGAGGCACCTCTCGTCCCGGTGAGGGGCAGGGGCCCGGAGCATTGAGAGCGTGTTCCTGGCCAGGGAGGAGGCTAGGAGGCCCGGCCGGGAGAGGGAACTCGACCCGGGACAGGGTCCCGGCCGGAAGCCGACCTGCGCTGCCTGGGATGTGTGCCAGGAGCACAGAAGGGAGCGCGGTCCTGAGTCCTGGGTTCTGCCCTGCGCTGGGAACTAGTAATCCTCCCTAAGTGAATCCTACCTCCCTAAGTGAGGATCTCCGAGCGCCGCTGTTAGTGGGCAGCCTTTTAATTAAGCCCTAGGGCTTTTGACTTCGACCTCCCCAGCCCCGGGTTGGGCCAAGGTCTTCCCAGAAAGATGCTCGAAGTGGGAAACAGGACTCGAGTCTGAGCCCTGCACAGGTCCCCGCTTTCAGTGTGACCTTGAGGAGACTGGTTCTCTCTGTGATTTGGGGAGGGGGGCTTGAGGCGTGGGGATCGTGTGAACATTGTCTCTAAGGACAGGACAGACAGATCAAATTGGGGCCAGAGGATCAATTGGGAAGAAGCATGATGTATACCCCTCTGAAACAGTAAGAATAGAAGTGCTTTGAAGAGCTCCTGTAAAGAGCACCTGTGCAGAGAGAACTGACCTTTTAGTGGCTGAGATTAGGCACTTACTTTGGGGGGAGATAACTTTTTGCATTTTCAGACCCCTGTGAAAATTGATGTAAATCTGGACAAAACTGGATTGAGAGACTACAGGGTGCAAAGTAGGGAGTACAGTAGGAAATCTAGAGAGGATGATTAAGCCCTTCAAGGGCCGGGTGAAGACTGCAGTTCAGAGGGGGAAATGGACATGGAATTATAACACAGGAGAAATTTTTTTACCTCCTGGTATAGGCTAGGCTAATCAGACACAGGCATTGCTCCGAGGGAGCTCGCAGTCTTTAACGGAGATAAGACATGGACACAAATAACGGAAATAAAAATGCAAGGTGGGAAGGACAGTTAAAATGCTGTGGGAGGTCAGGAGGGTGGCTTGGGGAAGAAAGGGAGGCAAGGAGCACAGTTAAGCAGGGTATGAGGGCACCATGTGGGAAATGCTGAGAATGAAGAGAAGGTGATCTGGGAGCAGTTGGACTTAACGTGGAAACCCAGGGCCCGTGGCTGCACCTCAGAAGAGGACAGGCAGATGCTCTGTGGAGTGTGGCATGGTGATTTGGCAGGACCCTTACTTGTTTCAGCGGCCCCATTACCCTGACCCTTCTCCGCTGTCAGTGCCGTGGCCCCACAGCATCCTACCCTTTCTGATGGGTAAGCCCTGTTACCTGCTCACCTGTTCAGCTGCTCGTTCCTTTCCTTCCTAATCAGAAACCGACCAGAGGGCAAAGTGTTGGAGACAGTTGGTGTGTTTGAGGTGCCAAAACAGAATGGAAAATATGAGACTGGGCAGGTGAGTGCTGGGCTGGGTCATCTTCCCTTTTTCATGATGTGCTCCGCTCAAAGGGTCAGAGTTAGTCATAGGCCTGACTGTTCCCGCTTTCTGCCTTGGTGCCAGATCAGAACAACAGGTGTTTAAAGGGGGGGGTTCTGTTTTCCTGGATTTGAATGCATTTCCTACGTGTATCAATGGGTTCTCCAAGTTAGTGTGGACAGAGATGGTTTGGACTATAGAGAGAGACCTGAGTTACTGACGAGTCCTCTAACATAGTGGGTGGTGGGAAGCTAGTAGAGGGAGCTTTCAAAAAAAATACACCTGGCGCTTTGTCATAGTTCAGCTCTTTGCAGTGCAGTAAGCTCTGGGTGCGAGGCTCTTTTTCTGTATCAGCCCTGTGCCAGGTCCACTGAGGTGGCCTTAGGCTTCTTATAGGTGAGGAGGACCTTTTGTTTATTTAGCACTTTTTGGTGTGCCTACAGTGAACTGGGCATTGTGCATTGGAGTTAAATCCGAAAGCAATGCCTTTATGGTGTTGACAGCTTAGAAAGGAATTAGGATGTGCAAATGGTCTGTGGCTCTGCACTGTGCTAAGTGAAAAGGAGGTCAGGGAGTACTTCCTGGAGGCCTACGTTGTGGCCTACCGGATGAGTAGAGGTCAGCCAGGTGAAGAGGGGGTAAGAGAAGTTGGTCTGGGTGGATTTCAGAGTTCAAGGAAAAGAGCAGCAAGACCTTGTGCTAGATTTCGCACATCTGCGCCGTTTTGTGGTCTGGGTCCCACCTGGATGGACCTTCTGGACTGCAGCCTCACTGAGGCCTCTCTTTCCTCCCAGCTTTTCCTTCATAGTGTTTTTGGCTACCGAGGTGTCGTCCTATTTCCCTGGCAGGCCAGACTGTATGACCGGGATGTGGCCTCTGCAGCTCCAGAAAAGTAAGTTGCCCTGCACTGTGCCTCACAGAGTCCTCAGGAGGAGGCCTGACTCATTGCAGACGTGCGTAACTGGGATCTGGGGTGAAGGTAGCATCCTCCTGGGTCTTTGGAACGTGCCCAGAGTATTCCCTGGCACCAATAACGGTGGAGACAACAGTGCTGAGTGCCAGGGGCAGTCTTAAGCCAGAGGGTCCCTTTAGGCCTTCCCAGGATACTCTCCAAAGCTATTCGCAGTTTGCATTGTAATCACCCCAGAAAGCACTGGGGAACTAGACTTCTTGATTTCTTCCCATGCAGTTAGAATCTTTCCCTTAATCTCTCTATCATCATTACAGTATATAAAAAAAGAAAAGGCCCAGCTTCATTCAATGATCACAAATGGCCCCTGGGATGCGAGGAGAGTGTGGTACTCTGGGCCCTGGGGACTGAGGCAGCAATTTGATTTTCTCAGCATCGCCCCCTTCTTCCAAGAAGCAGCCAGAGTAGGACGTGCCATGCGTCCTCCATGTTCCTTTGTTTGTCTGGGACTGGGGAGTGTCTGGGCTGGGTGTTGCTAAAGCCCAGATAAAGCACCAGTCTGTTTAGATGAGGAGGGGCTGGTGTAGGGAGCTAGGGCAGGCACTGCTCCTATTTCTCTCTGGGTGATCTTGGGTGTTTCCTGTCCTGTAGAGCAGAGAATCCTGCTGGCCACGGCTCCAAGGAGGTGAAAGGCAAAACGCACACTTACTATCAGGTGCTGATTGATGCCCGAGACTGTCCACATATAGTAAGTAAAAAAGATGGCTGGGTCTGGGGTTCTACTCCATGGGAAAGGCCTGAACCCCAGTGGGGACAAAGGGAGGGAGACGGGTCAGACAGAATGGACAGTGACTAAGAAAGTCTGACTCACCCTGGCCGCATGGCTCAGTTGGTTGGAGTGTCATTCCTCCAACCAAAACGTTGCTGGTTTGATTCCTAGTCAGGGCACATGCCTGGGTTGCAGGCCAGATTCCCAGTTGGGGGCATGGGAGAGGCAACCAATCAATGTTTCTCTCACACATCGACGTTTCTCTCCCTCTCTTTCCTCCTCCCTTCCCTTCTCTCTAAAAATAAATAAATAAAATCTTAGCACAAAAAAAGAAAGAAAGTCTGACTCACTTATTGCCTTAGTCTCAGAGATCTCAGACAGAAGCTGTGACTTTCTTGGCTAACCACGATGACAGCCGGGCCCTGTACGCCATACCAGGTGAGTACAAGCATCTGAATGGTGCCGGGCATCCAGGAGTCCCGTTTGTCTCGGGGGAGGATTCTTATGCCTTTCTGATGTCCTTAATCTGCTCCGAGGGATTACAGATGCTGAGCGTAATGGTACCAGGGTCATCCCACCCTGGGACAAGGCCAGAAACTGTGTTTCTTCTCAGCCCCATTCCTCCCCCTCTCCTACACGGGTCTCACTGTCTCGTTGCCTCTCTGGGCCAGGCCTGGACTACGTCAGCCATGAAGACATCCTCCCCTACACCTCCACTGACCAGGTTCCCATCCAGCACGAGCTCTTTGAAAGATTTCTTCTCTATGACCAGACAAAAGGTAATTGCTCTCAAGAAGAAAAGCTGGAAAGGGAGGGCCCTTTCTTTAAATATAGTATCATAGAAGTAATTTCAAAGCTCTGTTTCCACAATCTTATTCCGCCTCCCATTGGACCCAATGGGCGAATGGCTGTCATCTCCCCCAGATATGGCAGCTGAAGCTCAGAGATGACGAGACGGGGCTCAGGATTGCTAGTCATTGGCAACCAGGGCTCTTAACTCCCAGGCCAGCTCTCTTCCCATGATGCCACATACCTCCCCAGGGCTTACTTTAGGAAGCAGCTCTGTGCCTTCTTCCAGCCTGTGCTTTTGCTTCACCGTTGGGTGTCTTGTTTACCCGGACCTCCCCTGGGTGGGGTTTTCTAGGAGGCGCAGTTGGAAAGCGGGTGTAGCGCTCTGGGCGGTGGCCTGGACTGACCCGTCATCCTGTTGCCCCAGCGCCCCCTTTTGTGGCTCGGGAGACACTGCGGGCCTGGCAAGAGAAGAATCACCCCTGGCTGGAGCTCTCCGATGTCCACCGGGAAACAACCGAGAACATCCGCGTCACTGTCATCCCCTTCTACATGGGCATGAGGGTATGTGTCCTGCAGGGCCAGGCCCCCGAGTCTGCGTGGCATTCCCAATATGACTGCTGCAGCAGGTTCCACAAGTCAACTGTGTGCCTGTGGCTCTGCTTCCAAGTCCTCCAAGCGTGGGGTGGGGCTGAGCAGCCTTTTGGCAATGGCTGACACCGAAACCTAGAGCAGGGAAACCTTTGTGTCCCAGGAGGAGTCCTCCATCCTCCAGGCTGACTCTTTCTTCTCTCTTGGCTCAAAGGAAGCCACGTTTTGGAGAATATACACATGCTTGTTTAAATCGGTGTCAGATAGGATGATCTTTATACTTTTATGTATTAGTCAGACATTTATTGAGCTATTTCTTGCCTGGCTATAAGCTAGGTCCTGGGGATACAGATCCTGCCTTCCACAGCTCACAGGAAGGAGAGATGTCAATATACACCATACCAAGCATTGATAAGGTTGGGCTATGGCAGGGCAGTGGCCTGGACCAGCAGTGAGGGCGGAGCATCAGCTGACAGGGAGAGGGTGGTCCAGAGAAAGGGGAGAGCCCTGTGTCTGACAGGATAAGAAGGAGGGAGGCCCAGGTGGACCTGTAGTTCAGTCATCATGATCCACAGATGTTCTCGGCATTGTTCTGTCTCTCTTCCCAGAATACACCTACTCCATTGGGGAGATGTCGATTGGAACACACTTGGTTCTGCCTTCTGCCCTGGGAACTTACATTCTTTGTGTTTTTTTTTCTCCCCAGGAAGCCCAGAATTCCCACGTCTACTGGGTGAGTGTCTCCTTCTGGGAGGAGGAGCTCAGGAGAGGTGCATGGTGGGGGCAGATTGGCAGGTGGGGGGTTTACCTCTGGGGAGTGGGGGCTGCACAACGTGTGACAACCACGTTGTGCAGCCTTTGTTGCCTTTAGCTCTCTTAGAATCCTGGGCAGGCTAGCCCAGAGTTTACTTTCCTCAGATGTGAACTCTCTTCCCCACTCCCACAGTGGCGCTACTGTATCCGCTTGGAGAACCTTGACAGTGACGTGGTACAGCTCCGGGAGCGACACTGGAGGATATTCAGTCTGTCTGGCACCTTGGAGACAGTGCGAGGCCGAGGGGTGGTGGGCAGGGTGAGCATCCTCGCCATTGGGCCAACAATGCCCAGTTCCTGGTCCTGCCCAGCAGGCCTGGGGGCTTAGCGTGTGGTTTCCTCCTCCTCTGTGTTAGGGTGAACATATTGGTGAGAAACCTTGCAACAACCCTGTGAGACAGGTTTCCCACAACCCATTTCACAGATGAGAGTGAGATTACAAAGTTAAACAACTAGCCCAGTCCCATAGCTATTGGTGGCAGGACCTGGATTTGAATCCAAGTGAGTCTCACATCAAAGCTGGTGGAGTTTTTGTTGCGAGCACAGTGCCTTTTAGCAAATCTGAACTTGAATGCCCTTAGGTGGGGCACGCATCCCCCTCTACTCCTGGGTGTCCTCCTTTTGCTTCTTTACATGCTTACATCCTCTGCTCATTCTTGAGAAGGCCTGATTTTGCAATTCCTGTACTACCCAACTCTGCCGTCTGAGAAATAAAGTCTCAGAAACTGGCCAGGGGCCACATTTAACAAACATTACCCAAGTCAGCAGGGACTTGGGGGAAGCAGGGTGGGATTGTGAGTAAGAACAGGGGACTTTGGAGTTCGATGGTCTAGCTTCAAATGCCAGCTGTGTTCTTTACTCACCTCATAACTTTGGGTAAGTTATTTAACCAAAATGTTTCTCACTGCTGAAATGGGGGTTACACCTATTACCTTGTGAGTGCTTGGAAACCTAAGCCAGCAAGGTTTGCAGAGCACCACTGCGGTGCCTTGCACTTAGGCACTCAGCAAATGGACACTGGGACGGGTATTTACAGAGTAGGTTCTGTGCCTAGCATGTCGGCCCAGTGTCCTCAGACATTTAGTCTAAGACTGTCTTTCCCAGAGTCAGAATAAAAGGCCCAGGACCATGGCTGCGCAGTGGAGGATGCAGCGGCAGAAAGTCATCATGGGGGGCGAGAGGGGTCATGTAGTCCTGATGAACTGGCAGCGTGTGGCTCCAGGGCACAGGGAGCTTGTCGGGCCTGACCTCTTTTGCCTGCACCCTCACAGGAGCCAGTGTTGTCCAAGGAGCAGCCTGCGTTCCAGTACAGCAGCCATGTCTCCCTGCAAGCTTCCAGTGGGCACATGTGGTGAGTGAGCAAGTGCCGGGGCAGGGGCAGCTCAGCTCCACGGACTCAAGCTGCAGGACAGAAAAGTGGGAGCGCATAGCTTGCGATTAATTCTGGGCCAAGTTAAGTCCTGAGATGGAGCCCTACCTGCTGTTCACTGTTGTTTGGAACTTTCCTGATTTTGTGTGTGTGTGTGTTTCCCAATTCCCTTTGGTTTGGTGGACTAAGGACTTATGCCAAAGAGGTCTGGCGATTTGAAGATACAGAGTTGCCTACATAATTGTTTTTTTTTCCCTTGTTATTTCACTCCTTAACCGGAAAGTGTAGTTGGGTTTTTTGATGCAGTGTGCATCTAAAGGCCAGAATCAGGGCAGCTGTATTCCTTCTTTTCATGCAGGGCTAGGAAGGACTCTTGGGTCTGGACCAGTGTTACGCTGGCATGAACCAGGCAGAAGAGAGCCCGGGCCTGCCCCATCCTGCTGTGGTTCTGGAGCTGAGGACATATGACTATCCAGATCCTCAGGAAGGCCTCAGCCCTCGCTCCCTCTAAACTAGCTTCTCTGACTCACAGGGGTACGTTCCGCTTCGAGAGGCCTGATGGCTCCCACTTTGATGTCCGGATCCCTCCCTTCTCCCTGGAAAGCAATAAAGATGAGAAGACGCCACCCTCAGGCCTTCATTGGTAGGCCAGCCGAGACCCTGAATGGCCAGGCTCAGTCCCTGAAGAACAGCTCTCGTCCCATAATTGCAGAACTCTCCATCCTGGGACGCAGTGGGTCTCTTAATCGTTTGCGCCATTTGAATATGAGGTTCTTTTTTTGGTGGGTGGGCTATAACTGTTTTCTCCAGAAGATCCATCTAGGACTCCTCCAAGGCTGGCTTACCCTGTAAGCCCTGCCCACACTGCGTTCCAGTAGACCTTTCCACCAGGAACTCTGTGGTCAGCTGCCAGAGGTGTGGAGTTATTTCCTGGCCTGTTTGGAATGTGAGATTTGGGCAATAAAGCAGTGCGCACTTGGCCATCCTCGCCGTTTCTGCCACCAGGGTCTCAGGCTCCCTCTTTGACCCAGTGGGGGCCCTTGATCGCTTTCCTTGCTCCCCTTCCAGGAAGGTCCCACTCCTACTAGGGTAAGTTTCCCTCCTGAGGCTTGGGGTTGGCTGGACCTCTCCCAGAGTCGCTGTGCCTCAGTCGGTGGGGTGAGGGCCGGGCTGGACTTTTGTCCTTTTCTTTACCTCCTGCCAGCTGCAGAGCAGGAGGCCAACATCAGGGTCAGAGGAGTGGCCTGGCTGTTAGTGCTGGCCAACCACTGGCATCTCTGGCCTCCCTGGCTGGGGAGAGGAGTGAGGCAAGCCAGCCATGTTTCCTGGAATGATGGGCTTGCCAGCCATGAGCACAAACTTGTCAATCCTCCAGACAAGTGCAGAAATTCAGCCGAGGTTTAGGTTATAGGTGGTGACTAAGCCAAGTTACTTTCTGAGCTTTTCACAGATCTCCAAGAGCCAGAGATGAAATATGCTGCATTTCACCCTGATTCTTAGGGTTCCTGCTTCCCCACTACCATAGTGATTGTTAAAGAGGTTATTTTATTCTTGAATTAATATTAAATCTCAGTTCCAGCCCTTATTAGTGTTGTCCTTAATCCTCCACCAGGGGGAGCCTGCGTTGCAGGAGAACGGAGTGCACGGGGACTTAGGACAGGGAGAACACAAGGTCAGGTGGTGAACACAAACGCGAGAGCTCTGTCCAGAGCAGTGAGCTGACCAAGCTATACTCACTGTAAGCACGGCTCTGTTCACTGCAGTGTAACACAGTTTTATTAGAAATTAGTGTTTCCATCACCTATGCTGAACAACAAAGAATTTGAGCTAAAGAAGTTCTCTCATGCCAGCACCTGTGCCATCCTTTAGGCAGACCTTGATTGGATAACAAACTGAATAAAACCCAACACTGGTACATGTCCTTAATAGCAGGCTTCCAGTTTTCTGAGACACTGATGAGGTTTGACCTTCATCCACACTTTTTGTTTACTTTTTCCCTGGGCTGCTAGAGTTGAAAAATTCATACAACCAAGAGTTGCTTTTCGAATGGGGCTGGGAAACTCATTCTCCAAGCCCTTACACCACAAAGTCTGATTTAAAAAGATTATTTCAATGAGCTCAATGTTAGTATTTTTTTTAAGAGGAAGATGTTTTCCATCAGAGAAAGTGTCTAGAGTCCCAGACTATTGTGCTTTCTGAGAAAGGCTAGTCACAGACAGCAGAGGATCTGAATGTCAAAGCTGTAAAGAGGCTACAGGGGTTGTGAAGGTCAAAGGTTAACCATTAAAATACTTCAGTGGGGCGCTGGGACTTTGAGTGTTAAAGGGCTTCAGGAGGGCAGCTGAGGAAATAGGCCATTGGTCTTGGGACTATTCCAGACTCTGTGAGAGGCACAAAGCCAAAGCCAGAATCTGGCCAAGGAAATGGATTTGTCTTCATCGTGTTACTCCACTGAATGCGGGAAGAACTGTTCATAGCTGCTCACCAGGGCACCTCACCTGCAACTCCTTATACATTCAAGACTGTGACAAATGTAAAATACCTGATTAGAGTCACATTTCTCTTACCCCATCATGTCATTTCAGGTCCTTGTTGAGTGTATATTAACCCTGGCCTGGCATCTGCCCATGGACTGTGGAGTCAGCCATGAATAGCCACGTAGGGGCTTACTGTAAGAGTAGTTGAGAGATGACCTTGATAACCTGTGTCCTTTGCTGAGTGAGCGAGCACTGCTAAGTGGCTGTGCTGCCCTGTTATTTGTTAGACTGGCTGAACATTCCCTTCCCAATGGCGTTCCTTTGGAAAAGAATTCAGATAAGCAGCCTCCCAAGGGCCAAGCCAAACAGAAGGGAACGAACACCAAAGACCTGAAGAGGAACTCGCATCCTTGCCCAAGAGCTGGTGCTTGGCATTGCCATGGCCAAGTTATCCAACAGGAAAGAAATGAAGAAACCTTTCAAGGGGCTTAGGCTGCTTACAGTATCCTGTGTTTAGAAACTCACCCTGGAAAGAACCACCATCCCCAGCAAGGACACAAACCTGACAGCACGCGTGGGGAGCGGGAGGGTATGTGGCCAAGCACGTCACCTCTGCACGGGGCTGCTGAGAATGCAGGGCACTGTGCCCAGTGCCCATGGGCTCCACAGCCTTCCTGCTGTGGCGCATGCTCCTGCCCCCTAAATGGCTCTTTGGCTTTCCAGTAAGGGCAGCATGCCTTGGAGCTGGGGGCAAGAGAATCAGAGTCAGTTATGTGACCCTAAGAGGTTGGGGTAAAATGTCCTTTCTCACAGGAGTGATATTAGGACCATGGTCCCAACTTCCACATCCTTCAGCGCTCTGGGCACCTGCCTGGCCAGCCTCCTGGCAAAGCCGAAACTGGTCAGTGTTTTTATTGCTTCTTCTATCCCCTCCCTCAGATTGATTCTGCAGAGATGAGGGGATTAGGGTCAGGAAAATAAAACATGGGTCAGGGAGAAATACAACTCTCCTGAACAAATGTACAAAGTGCTTTAAAGTCTTGGCATCCTGGAGGGGTAGCAGGAGTACCCAGGCCCCTCAGTACTAAACCTGTAACTATTCATTTCCTAGATAGTTAAAAAAACAAACATCAAGCCTGTGCTTCAACACCTTAGGAAAAGAGGAGCCCCGGGTTCTAAGAAACTGGGCCTCCACAGCACCGGCAGCCCCCTTCTCCACAGAATGACCCCATCCCCCGTGGCCCCCAGCTGAGGCCTAAAGTAGCCCTTCAGTAGAGCAGAGGGGCATGCAGCAAAGGGCGGGGGAGGGGGGGGGCTCTTCCCAGCAGGAGGTGGGCGGACTGATCCACTCACCCCAGGGGCAGAAGCAGCTCCTTGTCAGGCAGGCAGGGAGTCACTGAGCAAAGGGGCCAGGACTCAGTCATCCTGAAGTGCTCAGGGAGCAGGACGGAGGGCCGGGGTCCCTGCCCTACTCAGCCCTCTGGCCCCCAGGCAGGGCCTGTCATGCCTGTGGGCGCTGGAGCAGAGACCCAGCCAGCAGCAGTGTGGGGTGGCCAATGGGGCAGGGTTCCACAGGAGGGAGGTAGGGTGTCCCATGCCCTGACTCCCTGAGGGTCTTGTCAGTCGCGATGGGCAGACTGGTGGCCGAGCTGCCGGTCATCGTAAGTGCTGTAGCGCTTGACGTGGATGCGGCGGACACGGTCCCGCAGTTCAAAGGTCTCCTCGTCTTCACTGGGGGATGCCTGCCTGCGGCTACGGCTTGTGGCCTCTAACAGGGAGTTGTCAGGGACTCGGGGGGTCTCATAGAGTAAGACGTTCAGTGTCTCCTCATAGATTCGGGCCTCTGGAAATTCCACCTAGGGCAAGGGGAACAAGGGGACTGAATGAATGAGGTTTCATCCCAAAGACAGAACAGCATGTCAGGGCCCCCGACCCTGTGCTGGCCCATTAGGCCTCCTGACCTCCCTCAGGAGACCGCTGGCTTTCTGTCTCACGAGGCCGAAGGCAGGTCTCCCTCTGAAGGAGGTGTGAAGAGGCGCACTCTATGCACATAAGGAAGGATGCGGGAGACAAGCATCCTCTCCTCGTCCTCCTGGATCCCAGACCAATGGACTAGTATGGGCAGAGGTTAGGGCCTTGGCTTTGTGGTTAGGCCTAGACATTGGACAGATACAGTTCAAGTACTTAATAGCTGTGGGGCCTTGGACTTAGCCTTGCTAGGCCTGTTTCTACCTGTGTGAAATCATGGTTAGTGCCTACCTCAGAGAGTTGTGAACATTAATTGGAAGGTAGATAGGGATGGCATTCAAGGCGCCTGGATTCTAGCCTAACTTGTGTCATCTGGAGCTTCTGTTCCCTTGCCTGCCAAATAGGGAGAATGGATGTGGTGTGTGGAGTCACCAGGCTCATAAAAGAGAAAGCACTTAGGGAGGTAACAGGTGCCATTGCCTCTTCCATGGCATAACCAACCCCCACAGAGACCTGCCCCTGAACCCTGACTCCACTGATATGTGCACATGGGAGCTCCCACCCCCAAAAAGACAGGAGGAAGCAGGGCCACTTCCTTAAGCCGTACCCCCTGACCCTCAGACAGCCCAGCTGTAGGCATTTCAGTGGTCTGGGGGCTAAGAAGGTGACGGGAGCTTGCTGCTTTGAGCCCTTCACACGCATGGGACTCTCCCCGAGATAAGCTGTCCTTCCATCCCAGCAAAGCCCTGCCATCTCTGGGGCACACACTCTCGGGGGTGGGGGGAGGCACTGACCCCTTGCAGCCTGGGAACGTGGGCTTAGCTGAGTTTATGTTAACTGTCACCTGGCAAATCCCTCACAGATGTCTGGCTCTGTTGTTACTGAGAGGCTAAGCTGATTGAGCAGGGACGCCCAGCTAGCAGGGGCCAGAGAGGAGGTCTGAACAGCTATTTCCACTACACTGCACTGCTTCTCTTAAGAACTGTCTCATTTTCATAACAACTGTGTTAAATTCACACTATTATTCCCATGTCTGCAAATGAGGAAACCGAGGCCTAACCGGTTTAAGTGGCTTATCCAAAGTCAGAAAACTGGTAAATGCTGGGGCTAGAATTCAAACCTGAACTGGGCCAACTCCAAAGATCTGGTCCTTCCCACTGCACTGCCTGTTCCCTTCCCCACAGCGCCCACCTAACAGCTGACCAGGACAAGGAATTCCTTGCCACCCCCCGCGCCCCTTGTACTGGCTTTTATCCTTGCCTGGCACCGTCACAGCCAATTTGGGAAAAAGAGAGCAAAATGGATGCCCCTTTCGCTCCCTGGTGTGTGTCCCGGGCCACCCAGGCAGAGGGAAGCCCCCACACCTTGGTCTGCTTCTTCTCTGTGGCATACACAATGGAGGTGCAGCACACCTCTGCCAGCTTCCGACCCTGGCCGTAGAACGACCAGCAGCAGATCTCATCGCCGATGACGTCCTTGATGAAGAGCACACGACCGTTGAAGCGCAGGGAGAGCTTGTCAAACAGCTCGATGTTTTTCAGGAGGTGGTCATCGGAGTTGCTGAAAAACCCACAAGGGCCCACAGGCCTGGGAATGAGGTTCCAGCACAGGGAGCGTACGAGCTGGGCTTTCCCCACCCCTCCCCTAACATGCTGAAGTGAGGAAAAGTCAAGGTGCCAGAGGGGACAGGAGGGGAAAGGGTCATGGGGCACCATCTGGGTTTGGGAGCCTGCGTGGGAAAGGAGCTGAGTTGGTTTTAAGTTTAAGCAGAAAGAACTGAGGGTGAGGGGGGTCTCCTCGCACTCGGCCTAGAAGGAAGGAGGCTGGCTGCTACCTCCACAGGGTTCTTTCCCTTGCTGTAAGGGTGACGCTATCAACATGCCTGCTCCCAGAGAAGCACTGAGAGAGTTTGCGACTCTGAGCCTGCAGCCTCCTGCGCAGACCTGAGGCCTGTTGAGAGGACACTGCGGGGCAAGGGGGAAACTGGCCTAGGACAAAGGCTGGCTTAGGAGGGGTCCCAGTGCACAAGCTTCCCAGTGCCCCTCCTCCACCGGTAAGATAATGCTGGGAAAACACCTGGCACGCTGCCCGACATGGCATGTTTCGAGGGTGTTACATGTTCAGTCTCGTCTATATCCCAGCCAGTGCCCTGCAGCAAGTTCCAACCGCCTCTGCCTTGGTTCCCCTTCTGCTCTCTTCTCTTTCCTCCTAAGACCCAAACCCATGCCAACCGTGCCAGGGGTGCAGGTGGCTCCCCTTGGGTCTGCTGCCAAACTTCCACTCTGGCTGCTCCACCCCTTCAGCTGCTTCTGCAACCCTTCCCCAAGACCCCCTGCCCACACCCACTGACGCCCACCCTACCTGGTGTAGGAATACTTGTTGTTGCTTCTGTTGTACAGCAGCTTCACCACCGGCTGTGAAGGAGGAGAGTGTGAGGGCTGGGCCGGGTCCTGGAATCCCCCGCCTGTAGCCCTCAGAGGTCCCTCAGAGATCCCAGTACCTTGGTGGAAGATTCGATGAGCCTCTCCTCCTCCTTCAGGGATGTAATGACGGGGATGTTGCACACAGGCTGGTAGGAGTCCTTCTTGTCCTGGGTGACACATACAGCCGAGAAGCCTTTTTGAGATCTTGTCGGCCAGCCCTAGCCAGGCTTTCCCCGGGACCTGCCAAAGCCCCTCTCCACGGCCAGCCCTGCTTGTTGAGGACGCAGCAGAGATGAGGAGGCCCCTGGTAACAGAAACTGCCAGCTGGCAAGCAGACTTCCATTTCCAGAAAACCGAAAATCCAGCGTCTAGGCTATAAACCAAAGGCAGGGCCTAGCCATACTGCTTCAGCTGGCACCTTACAAACTGACTGGCTGCCTGCTTGCTTGGCCTGGGCAGCACCTGGTATACCTAAGGAGGCCTGGACTCATCAACCATACCTGCCACACAGCCTTCCAGGAACTGGACCCTTATGTCCCCGAAGGAGGGGGCCAACTCCCAACCTTGTTAGCCAGCCCCAACTCTGCCTCCATACCTGCAAGGCGGTCTGGCACATGTTCACCAGCCCCTGAATGAGGTAATATTTCGCTTCAGCCATCAATTCCTTGATTTCTTGACGGCTCTGAGGGAGGGTGATGGTGTCATCACGGAGGTAATTCAAAATGGTGCCGAAGTGCTTTCCACACCGGTCTATGAGGATCCAGCCTAGGGATTCAGAGGGGCCCCGGAGGGTTACTGTTTGCCTACAGGCACCTTGGAAGCAGGCGGCAGCAAAGGCCACCCGATGAGCCTAGTGACAGGTAGCAAAGAGCATATAAGCAGAGCGCACAGCGCAGGGTGACAGAAGCAGGAACAGAATCCCAAGCCCTTAGGCCCATGGTAGCTCTTCACTCCTCCTCCCTGAAACCAAGGCCTGGCACACACTGCGGGAGAGACAGGCCCTCTGGGCTCCGCAGGGGCCTGCGCGCTCTCGGCCCAGGAGCGCACTGGCCTACCTCCTGTCAACACAGAAACCGCCAGGCCCTGCCTGCCTTCTGCCCGCTGCCCAGTCACTATGGTGAGGCTTCTTATGAGAGCCTAGTCTTATAGAAATAAACAAAAAGTATGGCTATCCTCCCTGGGAAATGCGTAAACATACAATAACCTACATACAATTTCAAAGAATCCTGAAGTTCGAGTAAGAACTTCAGGTGGAGTCCTGTGTTAGGTGAACTGGGAAAATGAACCTAGATTTCAGATCTGCCAGACTTAAGCCCTTCCCCAAAGCCATGCCCTCGAACCTCCTGACCCCCACCCACCTGCCCAGCAAGCCCTGAGACCTCACCTTCTTTGTCAGTCAGCACCTCCATGCGCCCGCTGAACATGGCCTTGAGCATGGTGTCGTGCCGGGTTAGCGCCCGCACAGTGGTGTAATACAGGGAACCACCCACATTGAGCTGGACGTATTTGTTGCCCAGGCTTCCTCCCTTGAAGCCGCTGAGCTTGGGCTTGGCCCCTGAGGCTGGGCACAGACAGGTGTCCCCCGACATCTCCCGCTTCAGGTAGATGACCACACGGCAGGAGGTGGGCTTGGAAGGTTCCGCCGTGGTGGAAGGGTCACGAGTGAGTGGCCAGTGGAGGTGAGAGCCTCATACTCTCAATGCTGTAAGCAGATGGGAGAGAAAGTAAGAGTCAGCAAGGGACAGCCCTCAGCCAGGAGGGGACAAGGGGAGAAACACTGACCATCCAGTCATTCTCTCCTTGATAAGCCCTTGATAGGGTTCCCTGGCAGAGGCTAAGGCCCTAGGCAATGGTAAGAAAGACACTCCTGCTGTTCTTTATGGTACCAGCAATCATGTCTGGGAGCAGAGTCTCCCAGAGCCCGGAACCAGTCACTTTACCAGCCTCTCTGAGACAGCTCTGGGTGGCAAGGAAGACCAAAAAGCCCTTGGAGCCAGTCAGAGGAACCAACTAGGCAAAGCAGAAGTCTTGGGGATCTACTAGTCAGATTCCAGTTATTTTCTTCTCAAGGTTCCCAGGGTGCAAGACTTCCAGCCAAACCTACTGGGAGTGCAGCCAGCCTCGGAGTTTCCCAGGAGCCTGAGGGACAGGAAGCACTTCCTTTCTAAAGATTCCAGGCTCAGAAGAAGTCTGCACCAGTGCTTATTTTGAGTAACACTCAGAGTCTGGCTTCAGGAAGGCAAGTTAAGAGCAGCTCAGGAGAGTGTGAAATGAACCAGGCTGGAGGGAACCAGCTAGTGTTCTTGGCAGAGGGAAGCCTGGCTCCAGTCAGGGTTTCCAGACATTCCCCTTCCTTGGCACTAGCCCTATCCCAAGTTCCTGAAATTGTCACCATTTTTCAAGATTGAACAACTACAGGATGGCTATTTTTGCTTCTTTTTCCTGAGAGGGGGCCCAGCCCTATCTTTTCCTCTCTTCCCTCTCAACAAGAATAGGAAGAAAGCGCTAGAAAAGATAAGATGATAAATCTAAAGTCAATTAAGTGATTTGGAAACTGAAATACTAATAGTTCATGGGAGGGAGGAGCAAGGAAAGCAGAGGGGAAAGCCAGGTCACCCCTTGTGACTTAGATTCTATATTATTATATGTTTTGATTTCCTAGAGAACACAAAAATCCATTTACTGAAAGAGAAAAAAGAACAAACATTCATTGCATGTGTACTATGTTCCAGGCATTTAATATTTATTAGTTCATTTAATTCATTCAGCAATACAACAATAGTGAGTGCCTACTATGTTCAACAGTAGGGATATAGAGATAAGAAGACATCATCCTGCCCTGGCTGGTGTGGCTCTACTGGAGCGTGATCCCATAGACCGACCAAAAGGTCGCGGGTTTAATTCCCAGCCAGGACACATATCCAGCTTGCAGGTTTGATCCCTGATCAGGGCATGTACCCTGGTCAGGGGCCTACAAGAAGGCAACAACCAATGTTTCTCTCCCTTGCCCTTGCTCTAAAAGCAATGAAAAAATGTCCTTGGGTGAGGATTAAAAAAAAAAAAAAAAGGCAATTAGTCTCCCAATTAAAAGAAAAAGAAGATATCATCCTTGCCTCCAAGGAGTTCAAGTGTGAACAAGAATAAAAATAGTAAGAGTTAGCATTCACTGTGCCTCTGCTATGTGCCAGGCACCGGAGACAGAGAAGAGAACAAGGTATGGCCTCGTGGAGCTTGCATTCTAGTTTGTGGGTACAGACAACAAGAAAACAAACAAATATGCAGGTAATTCCAAAAGTGAGAAATGCAATGAAGCTAATAAAACAGTGATCAAGAAAGTGACTAGGGAGAGCACTAATCTAGATTGAAGACCAGGGAAAGTGTTTTTGGGAAGGTGACATTCTAGCTGAGGTCTGGAAGAGTATTCTCGACAGATGGAAAGGTTAGACCAGATCTTATTAAAGAGTTCAAATCTTACACCAATTGCAATGGGAATGGATCGGAGAGTTTTAAGCAGGGGACTGGTATGATCTGAATTATTACATTTTGGAAAGATCACTCTGGCTGCTGTATAGAGAATGGGTTGTAAGGGTTCAAGAGAACAAGTGGGAGGACCAGATGAAGCAGTAGTCTAGGCAAGAGAGGGTGAAGGCTTGGACCACAGTGGTGATAATGGAGACAGAAAAAAGTGGTATTACTTCAACTAATCATCACGACATGCAGAAATTTACAGTTGTACGTCATTTCTTGTGTGACCCAGAAGCAGTGCACTGGTTTTACCGTTTACTGCTCCATTCTCCAAGCACAATGCCATACACACTTTGAAGCATTTAATATGTTTGTTGGTTATACTGAAATTGTCCCTGGTAAGGTTTAGGTAGGTCCCTGGGAAGGATACCCAAGGAAGAGCCAGAGCAGGTATTGCCAGAGGTACTGAATTCCTTCGATGGCTTGTCCAGGATACTCTCAGTTGCTTCAAGGATAGAATGAACCCTCACCAGAACACTGTCCAATCAATGAGTAACACTACTATGAGATCACTTTACCTTTCTCAGCCCACCAAGGAAATAAACCCACCCTTTAATGGCCTTAACAGGTTTTAACACGTTCCTGTGTATTTTGTATCTAGCATCAACTTCCCCAGGATCAAAGCGCACATAATTATTCTGTCAAAGCAAAGGAACTCAAAGGCTAAGTTGTTGCCAACAGAGAAAGACAAATCCAGAGTTAATCTATTCCTTTCCCGCAAAGCAATTGCCTTGAGCCCCTGGATGACGTCAGCCCAGATTGCGCCCACACCAATGAATTCCAGGAATTCTTTGGCAGGTGACGCACAGAAAGGACTTCCAGTGAGAATGAATTTTCCACTGGCAGCTTCGATGCTCTTCCTTCCGGACTTTGTGTGTGGATATTTGGGGGATGCCTGAAGCTAGGGGCGTAACCGTGTCCGCGAAGCTAAGGTGAACCCAAGCAGAATAAAGGGCGGTGGGAGGAGGTGGGAGTCCTAAAAGAAGAAAACCCAGAAATCAATCACAAACAGGGAAAACTGGAAGTGAGGAGAGAGCCGGTCTTGGTTAGGGAGGGCGGGTCTACCAGAAATCCTAGGTGTAAAAGTCTTAGGTTTCATCCAAAGGATCTGGAGAAATTCAAGAACCAGCCTCTCTGTGGCCAGTGTAGTCCCCCGCCAGCCCGTAGCTCTCTTTATTACCGAGACACCGAGACCGGTTCCGACACACACAGACACCTCCATTGGGGGACCTAAGCTCCCCATCTCCCCTACTCCGTTTCCCCGGGACCAGGTGGGGCTCTCTTTGCGCCAGCCCGGGGCCCGTCCATCCCTTCCCCTAGGGTATCGGCAGGCCCGATTCTCACCGTCCCCAGCGATGCCTTTCCTTTCAGGTGGGTTGCAGGCCTACACTTTACCGCCCCTAGACTCTGGCCGCCTGTCCGACCGCAATCCCGGGCTGTGAAATCACATCCTCCCACCGCGGACTCCGCCCCGAGTTGCCGCCCAGCTGGGCGGGCCCAGGAGCCTGAGACTTTAAGCCCCGGCATGCCCAGCACCCAATCAGGGCAGAGGGAAGAGCCCATATTCCGCGGTGAGCGCACTACTACTTCCGTAAGCTTTTCCATGCCAAAGGCCTGTGGATCTTGTATGCAGTCGTCCCTTTTCTCGGGCCTTTGTTTCCCAGAAGGCTCTGCGGGTGAGGCGAGTGTAAATACTTCCGGTGTCAGGTAGTGACGGTCTGTGTAAACTGGTCCTGTAGCCGTGGCAGCGGCAGAGTGGCGAGCCAAGTTCAGCAGTCGTGGACCGGAGAGAGAAGCTACCTGTCGACATCAGCCTGGGCTGCAGCGCGCCGCCGCTACGGGGTCTGAAGGTAGGCCGTGACCCGGGTGGGGGACGCGGGCGGACCGGGGACGAGACGGGCCTGACAGGCTCGCGCCCCGAGGAAAGGCAGTCCCAGAAACGTGGGAATTTCGCCCGACTCTTTGGGAGTGGTATTACACGTAGTTTGGGCCGGAACTTGACGCGTTGGTGCTCGCAACGGTCTTATGAGGAAACTGCTTCTCAGATAAGTTCAAGGAGTTTACGTACTGAAGACAGCCAGCTCCGTCTTCCAGATCTTAACTTTCTGCTCAGTGCCCTTTCCCCACACTCTATTGGTGGAGCCTGCTCGTAGTGCCAGATCTCCCAGATGTGGATCTGGGAGAGCCAGGGGCGGAGGGAATGCCACTGTCCTCATCTCCAGGGAGCTCAGTCTGGCTCTTGTGCCCCGTGTTTCTCAGATGCGCAGACGCGCGATGCGGGGAGCTGGGAGAGAATCTGATAGTCAGGGGTGAACCATCTCCACTCCTGCTCTGGTCTTATCCATCTCATTCAACCATACAGTTGTCTCAAGCCAGAAATATCGGAATCTTGTCTGACTCTTTCCTTCACGCATTCTCAAACCCCTACTACATTCAATCAATTCTTTACTAAGTCCTAACAGCTCGACTTACAAAACATCTCAAATTGGGAAACTTTTCTTCAGCTCTAAGCCTTGGTTACTGTAATAACTTCCTCTGTTTTCACATTCATTCCACAATTACTGAGTGCCAGTTATGTTCAGGCCCCATGCTAGATGCTGGGGTTACAGTGATGGACAAGGTAGGCGTAACCCCACCCTATTGTTTCCTGCAAACCAGTCTCCATCCTGAGGCAGAGTGATCTCTCTAAAAGATAAATCTGATTATGTCTCTCTGTTGAGAATCCACTGGCTGCCCATTACTCCTCTGATAAAGTCCAAGCTCATTACTGCATCTTTCAGAGCCCTTCATGATTCAGCTAGCTCTAGCCTCACCCTCTAGCCTCACCCTGTCCCCCCCCCCCCCCCGCGCCTTGCTCACTATTTCAGCTGCACTAGCCTTTCAGATCTCCTGATGCCTTTAATTTGTTACAGCCTCAGGATATTCACACATGCTTTTCCTTCTGCCTGGAATGCCTCCTCTCCCCTTCACTGGACAAACTTTTGGACATCTTTTAGGTCTCAGCTTAAGTGTTACTTTTGCAGAAGGTTTTGTTGACACCCCTGCCCCTCTAAGAATTAGGGCCTCCTGCTCCAGCTTCACCTAGAACCATGAGCTTTTCCTCATACCATTACCCCAATTTATGAATATTTGTTGGCTCTCTGTCCAGAGGTCAGGAACTGATGCATTAAAGCATTTTCTTCACTGCTCAAACTCCAGAGCAGATTTCTGAATAAATATATGCTCTCAGGGAAAGAGTGAAAGGAAGAAAGTGTTTGCTCCCTCAGATTACTTGAAACTTACTAGAGCAGTTGGTCTGATTAATGCCCAGTAGGTGTTAAATGCTCAGACTATGCCTGTATATGTACAGTTGGAAGACAAATCTTTTTTAAAAAGCCTGGTCATAAGGAGCTCTGGACGATTAAGACGTTTCAACAGGAAGATGCCAGCCTACTTCCTTTGGTGGATTTCAGGGAGGCCAAAGGCCCTGGGCCAAGGCCATACACAGACAACCTATAGACATGCATTAGTTAGCCCACACAGTGTTGGATGTGCTTTTTTCCTTACTTTACATTTTTTAATTAGATAACTTTCCTTTAAAAATCAGATTCCATACGTAAATCTGGATTTCTGGTTCTCTTGAAAATCGGTTCTGGCAATGGTGGGACTTAATTCTTTTTTAACTATTGATCCTCCTATGGGACTCATGCTCTGGATAGTCCGTCCCAGAATCACCCCATCAGAAGAGAACGTCTCTGAGGAAGCTGGAAGGGAAATAGGAGAGGAGGAAGCTGGAAGGGAAACAGGAGAGGCTTGCGGCGGCGGGGAGCAGAGGGAAGGGCTGGCGCCAGGTGGTGGCAGCCTTTGGAACACCTGGGGTTTTGGAATTGGTATAGTAGCCAGTTGCTAGTCCTAAGTATTGAATAGCGTTTCTTCCCTTTCTAGACAGGGCATGTGGTCTCTATTTTTTGTGCTGTTATTTTTAAGAAAATGAGGGTGAATTTTCACTGTTTCCTTCCCAGAACTGAGGCATCCTTTTGACTGGAAATGCGAGGTGGCGTGGGAAGGGAGAGGATATCTCTGCTGGTTCTCTTGCCTACACCTCAGATTCTTTAGCTTGGCACACAGGGTCTCTCTAATCTGGCTCCATGTGACCTTTCCAGCTCAATCCTTTGTCCTTTCTTCCTTTTTAAAAAAGATTTTATTTACTTATTTTTAGAGTGACGGGAAGGGAGGGAGAAAAAGAGGGAGAGAAACATTGATGTGTGGTTGCCTCTCTCATGCCCCCAACTGGGGACCTGGCCCGCAACCCAGGCGTGTGCCCTGATTGGGAATCAAACCGAGGACCCGCTGGTTTGCAGGCCAGCACTCAATCCACTGACCCACACCAGCCAGGGTCACCATTTGTCCTTTCATCTTCTCAGGCAGGATAGGACCTTTTAGTGACTTCAGGTTCTTGTTTACACTGTTCTGTCTGCTTGGAATGCCTTCCCTGACTTCCTTACTTGATACGTTGTGGCTGATAGTTCATTCCTTTCTGCCAAAAAGAGACTGACCCAACTTGGGTCCCAGTTCAGGCAAGTGTACAGTATCCTGTAGCATACATTTTGGGTAATATTCTTACTCCTGGCTTCTTACTTTTTTAATCCTAATATTTAATTCACTCTGATTTTCTCTTTTACTTGCTTTTTGTGTTATTAGTTCTGTATTTGAAAAGATTCTTCATGTCCTTTTGAGTCTATAACTGGGGGTAAATAAATATGCTTATGGCTTGGCTGACAACTTAGTTCAAACGTCAGCTTCCTCACCCCAAGTTAATTGCTCTGTTCTCCTCTAGCGCTTTAAGATATTTCTGTAAAAGCACTTAACAGTATAACTTTTCAGTTTACATGTCTGTCTTCCTCCAGCTAAACTGTGCTTCTCCAGGGCCGGTACCATGTTGCACTCATCTTTGTATCCCCAACATCTAGCAATGTTGGCATGTAGTAGGCACTCAAGAAATATGTGTTGAATGAACGATGCCTGTGACAAGCAACTGGACTTTATTCTTTCCTGACCCTTGCTCCTATGACACACCTCCTCCTGGCTGCCACTGTCCTTCCTTCAGAGCAGATCTCTAGAGAAGCTGGAAGGGAAACAGGTGAGGCTTAGAAAGGTGGAGGCAGAGGGACGGGGGAGCTTTTGGAACATCTGGGTTTCTGGCATTGGTATCTGGGGGCAGGAGTGGGGCTGGGCTGGAAGCAGGCTTTTCTTTGGGTAGCTGGGAAATGATCAGGGATTGGGGTTGGCTTCTTTATAGGTATGGCCAAGGACGTCCTCGGTGAAGCAGGGCTGCACTTTGATGAGCTGAACAAGCTGCGGGTGTTGGACCCAGAGGTTACCCAGCAGACCATAGAGCTCAAGGAAGAGTGCAAGGACTTCGTGGACAGTGAGTATCATTTGGGGAGAGATGTTGCCACTCGGCTTTGAGCGATTCCAACTGTGCCCCACCCCGACCTCCCAGCTGTTGCGTGTGGCCCTGCCAGAATGGAGCAGCTGGTCCCCGCAGGTTGAGCCCAGCCTCTATGAATTTCCAGGTACCACCCATCTTGTCTGTCTGCCCTCTTCTTATGCTCTTGTGTAGTCCCACATGGAGCGCCAATCAAAACAGACACCAGAATGCAGAGAGGAGGGTGTTTTTTGAGATAGGCCATCTTTGAGTTTTTTGAGCTCAGAAACCTTAAACTCCATGGAGGCAGAACTATGGCTTGGGAGTGGGAAATAGTTATGTACTGATGATTTGATTTTTTGGGAGAAATAGTATTCTCAGTGGTAGGCTTGTCTGTATTGGGAGTGGAAGCTGATTAACTGGAGTCTCTAGAAACAGCTCAACAGACCCCATTTAGTCATTTTTTAACTAGAGAGATCCAGGACACCTTCTGTCCCAGCAGCCAAGCCAGCCCACTGGCAGTGAACATAGAGCAGCTGTAACTAGAGTGGGGATTTCTGAGCCTTCCGGGTCTCTCGGCTGCAGAGAGAGCGTCCCTGGTGAAGGGTAGCATGAGTTCTGTTGCCAGCCCCGCTGGGCCTTAGTGTACTCCTAGGTAGACCGGGGTTTTGCCACGCCCATGGATATTGAAAAAGGAATGGGAGATTAAGGACTTAAATGCTTTGAGCTTATTGGGTGTGGTCACAAGTGGATAGCCACCACCCCACCATCAACTAAGAATCTAGTGTCGCCACCCCGCCATTAACTAGAACCTAGTATATCTGTGGCTGGTCAAGAGGCAGCGTTCCTGTGAGGCAGTCCTTTCATGAACATGGCCCTTTGTGCCTCCTGTCACTCCTCGGAAAGCAGGATGGGGTCCGTCCACAGAATGGGCCCACCAGGACCCTTCATAGCCTGTGGTGATGGCAAGTGGCTGGCTTCGTGCGGAGTCAAGGGCCAGGTGTTCCTCAGTGTACTCTGGGCACCCGGCTCTCATCTCTAGGTTCAGACCAAGGGAGGCAGGTTGTAGGCCAACAGGCACCAAATTGTTTTGAGAAAAATTAGAAGGGGCAGTTATGTACTGTCTCGCTGAAAGGGAATGCTGAGGGAGAGCGATGACACCGAGAAAATAAAGACATTTTTTTCTTTCCCTAAAGAAATTGGCCAGTTTCAGAAAATAGTTGGTGGTTTAATTGAGCTTGTTGACCAACTTGCAAAAGAAGCAGAAAACGAGAAGATGAAGGTAAGATCAGCATGTGTTTTATCTCAGTATTCACTGGGACCCTGGCTCACTAGCCTATCATCCTTCTGCGCTCTGGACTTTTCTGTGTTGGGCGGGGGGCGGAGATATTCTTTTAATTAAAACAAGATTTTAAATAGCAAGATTTTCTGTACAGGTATTGACTCATTATGTTGTATACCTGAAACATTCCATGTCAGTTATACCTCAATTAAAAAATTCCTGGTCCACTTAACCTACTACTGAACTCTTACATGCCAATACACTTTCGGTAATTTCCTTTAATCTTCACATCATCACAGACGTAGATGGTTTTATCCTCATTTCATAAATGAAGAAATGAAGGTGTGCAGAGTATAGATGACTTGGCAAAGGACACAAGGCTAAATGATAACACCAGCTGGGCCACTAACACCTGAGTGCCACACCCTGGGGATACTCTGAGATCTGCCTCCGAGCTCCAGGCCAGTTCTCCCTTTGGAATCATGAGGTTAATGTTTCTCCCAAAGCTCTGGGGCTCAGCCTTTTCCCTGCTGGGCAGTGAGGTAGCCCCCAAGTGGCCCTTAAACAGTCAAGGACTTAATGCTAAAAATGGTTTTAATGAAGCCATGACCTTCTTTGACACTGTTTTTCTAGGCCATTGGTGCTCGGAATTTGCTCAAATCTATAGCAAAGCAGAGAGAAGCTCAACAGCAGCAACTCCAAGCACTAATAGCAGAAAAGAAAATGCAGCTTGAAAGGTAAGTTAGGTAAAACAAGGTCTTTACTCAACTGCAATTCTTTTTCCTTCTTAACAGTCACCTCTGTCCTTGTTCATCATTGTTCTCCCAGGAAGTGTCACTTGTCATCCTAATTTGAAGATTTTAAAAATAAAAATATATTTGATTGGGAGGAAAAAGTACATGTTAATATCAAACCACCTATATAGTAGCTGGGGAGCTTGAAAGCTCAAATAGTGAGTATGTGTAAAGCTGGCTGGGGCTCTCCCAAAGGAGAATAATCCCTCAGGGCTGAAGATTTTTCATGTGTGACCCTGTGCAGGGCTCTTCACATGTAATTTTTTCTCTTCTTGCCCTAACCACCTTCATTCTGAACTAACACCATTTCTTGGAATCATTTAAATCACCTATGTTCTTCACTAGAAGAATACAGTACATAGTTGATTTCATCCATTTTTAGGGCTTCTAACAATTTTGTTTTTCAGGTATCGGGTTGAATATGAAGCTTTGTGTAAAGTAGAAGCAGAACAAAATGAATTTATTGACCAATTTATTTTTCAGAAATGAACTGAAAATTTCATTTTATAGGAGGGCAAAAAACAAAAACAAAAAAACAAAAACCTCTGTACCATTCCAGTGACTTTGACCAATGACCTAGTGTGTCATTTGAGATGGTGTGTAAGGAACGCAGCACCTCTGAAGGCAATAAAACAAATCTGAGGGAGCTTGTTTCAGATGCCTGTGTGTATCTGGTGAATGCCCAGTGACCATGGTGGCCTGGGTTTTCACCTCTTGCATTCTTTGTCTGAAATAAGCAGTGTGTAAACTTGGATTTTTTTTGTAAATTTATAAAGCTTTGGAAGAAAAACAATAAATTATTGTTTTCAGATGGCTTCTCTACCTCTTTTCCTGGTGCCCTTAAAGTGTACACTAAATGCCTTATAAAAGAACCTTGGACTCTATTCCCTAGTCCACAAAACGAACCAGGCAGTGGTCAGCAGCTACCTTTATTTGGACTGGACACATGAGTCAGACGATACTCCCAACAATTGGAGCAACATGGCTTATGAGCAGAACAGGCAAAGAGGGAACTAAGTGGGACCAGTTTCTATTGTTATCCATGTGTGTTCACCAAGTTTTGTTTTGTTAAGTTAGCCTTGAGTATGAATTTAGAGAAAGTGAATGGAACACCATGTACTAACATGAAGACACTCTATGCACATACTGGACATGTTATGCCCAGCTGTCCCATTTTGACTGAGAATAAAATGGGAAGGAATGATTACACTATTTGTAAGAAAGATCTGAAACACACTTCCAGATCATGTTTGAGACAGCAGACCTCAGAGTAAAGAAACTTCTGTCACATGGTATGTAAAAGTATAGCACTAACGTTTGGCAAGAGGATAAACAAGAAAACTTTAAAAAAGCCTCTCCTCCTGTGATGCTGTTTCAAACAAAAACAAAACATCTAGTTTAGACCACTACTGATTGAAAGTCATGCCAGGGCTGGACCTTAAGGAAAACTAAGTTAAAAACTCTTGCAGAATCGTTACTTTCTTTCCCCTGCTGCTCCCTACCCTGTGTGGAAAGAAGAAGGTACAGTTTTTAATGAATATTAAAAAGGTATAAATTCAAACTTAAAAATGACCCAAAACTTCCCACTATTCACTTTGCTGAATAGTGACATGCTGTAGGGAATCATGAGTCAAGGGATTAGTCGCGCATATATTGTGGATCAAATGACACATGAAAATGCCAAGCAGGACATGTTTCTTAGAAGTTTATCCAGTTTTGGGTCTGGTGCTGCTTTCAGTAATTCAGCAGTGGAACTTGGGAGCATAACGAAGTACTTGGCACCACTTCCCTATTACCTAACCCACACCCCTCTGCCCATCCTCAGGTGATTGATCTGTGCCCGTGCCCTTGGAAGGGGATGGTTTGATGTGGCTCCTGCTGCTGGTGTGTTTCAAATGCTACTGAAGACATGGGTTCTGAGCAGTTTTCCTTGAACTGTGTCCAACAGGAAACTGTCCTGTGGGCATCTCTCCGCTGGGCCAGCAGTTCTTGCTCTCATTTTTTCTTTCTTTTCTCCTCATACTTGTAGTAAGGGCTCCGCAACATGAAAAGCAGAAGCGTAAGAGGGATGAGAAAGTAGGGGGCATAGACACACATGAGGGTTAGTCGTTCACGGAAAGTCTTGGGTCCTAGTCCTTTGAAACCGCTGGCTTTAGAGAAATCCTCAAATAGAAGTGTGAAGAGAATTGGAATTAGAGTGGTCATGGTGTGAACCGAGTAGATGATTGCAGGGGTGCGGATCCACTTGCAGCCTCCTGGAGTTGTCAGGGAGAGAGAGAGAGAAGCATTAGGTCGGTTCACTGCAGGGGTGCCCGTGACATTCCCCACGCATCTCTGCCTGCTCCCTTCAGCTGAGTCACTGTACCTCCTTTTCCAAGTGGAAACAAATGGAAAACCAGATGTGTTCTAATGCTATCTAACTGCAAATTTATGTGACAGCCAGGGCCCTAGAGCACTGACTGCCCAAGAACCAAGGGGGGGGCGGGGGTGGAATTTAATTCAGAAGAACTCTAGGGCAGTAAACGTTAAACCTGTTCGGTCTCAATGTGCGGGTGGTGGTGCTGCCAGCAGCATCTGTTAAGTAATCACAGTGTATGTAGGTGAGAAGGTCAACAGATGCTGCAAAGAGATGGGTTTGGGAGACTGCAGTGGGAAATAAGCTGTATGAGCTTAGCTGCCACACATGCTGGTGTGACCACCTCCTTTATAAAAGCATCAGTCATATGGGGACACTGTAAGAATAATTTTTAAGTAAGAAGTTAAGTCCTTTAGGAATTAGCCTGATGCTGCTTATTATACTACCTAAAGCACAAAAATAAAAGCCAACGATAAGAGAAAGAAATTCAAATATAAAAAAAGAAATAAAAAGCAACAAGTTCAGTCGTTAGGTAGCCTCAGGTTTTGCGCGTGTGAGAGATGTCCAGTTGGCTGAGGCAGTCACACGGCCCAGCTGACCTCAGGTGTCAGCCGGAGCCACGCTGAAGTCCCTTCACAGGCGCTATCCTGGCCGTTCCCACCAGATCCTGTGTCACCCTCGCCCAGACTACAGGGGCCACTCCTCTTTCCCTGGGAGATAACTTTCCAATAAGATCTCTGGGAGCCAATTTCAGGGCAAAAATGGGATTTCCCCACCATTTACCAACCTTTGAAGAAGGCATATGTTGCAATGGGAAAGAAAGGCAGCTGAAACACAAGCTCGCAAAACAGGAAGGATTTAAACCACATTGGGGGGTCCTGTAGCAGAGGGTCTTTGAACTCTTTAGCATACCACTTCAGCAGGTTTCTCAACTGGAAAAAGATGAAGATTATGATGAATACGGCCACTTGGCAGGGAGAGGCTCAGTAGCTCCAACCCACTAGGAGTCATTACCCAGCCCCATTGGCAGCAGATGGCACAGCCAGCTGGCTTTTGAGATGCGGCCTAGATGGTCATTTAAGAAAAACCCACTAGCCCTAACTCAAATGTTAGCTTCTCCATGAATCTTTCCTCAGCGCTTCCAGCTCCTTTGTGCCGCCCAGCATTTGTGACTCCATAACACTTATCTAGACCATTGTCAAAAGCAGTATCTAGCATGTAAGAGGAGGCTATTGGTTTGCTGAATGAACACACGAATGTGACACATCTGCCAACAATTCATTCTTTATAAAGAAATGACAAAACTATCCTGACATTTGCTCTTTCACAATAGCAACTGCACACGAAGCTCCAAGGGCAAGATTTCCTCAAATGCAGACATGAAGTGAATTTGACTGCAGGGGTAGGGGGCGGGGACAGTGACGGGAAGGAGGTACAATAAATCAAACCTCTGTAAAGAGGAAATTTTAGACAATTTAAATAAGCCCAAAACCTCATGTTCCTTATCATTCTTAACTCCCAAGTTCTTAAGGTCTTTTTTTCTTTTAGGAGACCAGGAGGATATTTGTAGAACAAACTCTGCCCCAAACCACAAACTATGTATCTTCTAGGCTATGTCAAAGCTTGAGATAGCAGTCTTAGTTCTAGCTTGGGCTCCACCCTCATAATTATGCTGTCAAATCAAAAGATACAGATCCATATTGACATGGCTACAGGTGGGGTAGGGTTGGGGAGGAAGTAAGAATGTTTGAGGCTTTTATAAAGACCCCAGACAAAGTCTAGGAATCTCCACATGCAGGTTTGTTGCATTGAACCTCCTGGAAATGGCACTATCTCGACACACCTGCCCTCAAAGCCAAATATGTTTTTATGTTATGATAAAGCCAACTTCCAAGGTAAAAATTTAGCTTACAATGGAAAATCCAAAGATAGTTTCCCTGTTAATTTTTAATGAAAAGATAAAAGCTCACTATTGTTAGAGAGGCCTCATTGCTGTGAGTGAGCTTTAAGCAAATATCCAGAGACAAACATTTTCTTTTAGCACACTAACTTCAGAAAGGCTCTGGCTAGATAACCAATTTACTGACCAAGTAAGCTTTTAATTTGTACTTTACTTGAAATTTAAATTCATGGCAAGACCCTTAGCTTCCTTCTGAGCACTTCTCATGATAGTAATGTGGTAGAAAATATTCATAAAGGTTAGGTCTCTGCACTTCTCCTGGGCTCTATTTTCTCACCTGTAAACAAGCAACTTGGACTAAATGTTTAAGATTGTTTTTTTCCTTCTAGATTTACTTAGAAAAATACTGGAGAGAGCAGTCTGCTTTAAAAGATTTACTGCAGAATTCAAAAGGCATTCTGGTTCATGTGAACTTCATTTTCTATTCAATTTGTATACAGTCTCTCAGATCCTCCTCCTATTTCATAAATCCAGGTAGATTTGTACAGCAGTACTGTAATTTCTAAGGACTGCAGGATGAGATTAGCAAAACTTAAAATAATCAGCCTGTTCTCATAATCAATTAGAACACCATCTGCCCACAGTCTCCTAACAGCCACCTGATGCCAGAAGGAGGGCTGGTGGAAGGCAAGGCACAGGCACCTGCCAGAGTGCCTGGGTCTGCGTGCTGGGTCTGGACAAAGTACTTGATCTAAGTTTGGTTGTACTGCAATTGTAGTACCTACTGCACTGACGACAAGATAAAACGAGTTAATACATGCAGTCTCTAGAACAATAGCTAGCACATAAAGATTACTTAATTGATTGTAATTAATGCATATTTGGAGAGGTTGAAGTTTAATCCTGTTAACATGTTGGCATGCAACTGGTCATTAATAAGTACTATTATTTTTTTTCTTTTTTGAAGATTTTATTTCTTTTTAGAGGAGAGGGAGAGAGAAAGAGAAGGAGAGAAATATCGATGTGGGAGTGAAACATCCATTGGTTGCCGCCCCCAACCGGGAACCTGGCCCACAAACCAGATATGTGCCCCTGAATGTGCCCTGACCGGGTATTGAACCAGCAACCTTTTGTTTAGCAGGCTGATGCTCAGTCCACATAGCCAGACCAGCCAGGGCAAGAAATATTCTTATTAAATAATAAGACCTCAAAAAAGGTAACAAAGCTCTTCCCATTTCTACCTGAGTCACTCAATTTAGCATTGTTATCCATTAAAAATATTCACCTGACCTGTGCACATGGGCTTCTAAACCAGGAGTTGCAGAACAATTTTGTACTTATCTAAGAGAGCACAGATTGATTTCAGACCTAGATGCTACCTGTTTTCCTTATTTTAAGAGAAGCAATGCTACCCAGCTGCAAATGATACTACAAAATGCTTCCCATCCTCTCCATGTTTAATCCAGCGATTTTCTACCTTTTTCATCTCATGGGACACATAAACTAAATTACTAAAATTTGGTGATACACCAAAAAAATATATTTTTTGCCAATCTGACAAAAAAAGTTATAATTTTGATTCATTCACACTGGATGACTGTTGTTGTATTGGCTGTTGTCATTTCTTTATTTGACAGTTTAAGGGAAAAGAGGTCAGTGCCCCTGACTAAGTTGGATATTGCATGTTTTAAAAATTGTTGGCCCTGGCTGGGTTGTTCAGTTGGCTAGAGAGTTGTCTCAATACTTAAAGGTTGCCGGTTCAATCTCCAGTCAGGACACATACAAGAATCAACCAATGAAAGCATTAATAAGTGGGACAACAAAGCAATGTCTCTCTCTCTCCCTAAAAAATAAAAAGAAATTTTAAAGATTTTACTTATTTATCTTGAAAGAGAGGGGAGGGAGGGAGAAAGATAGAAAAACACTGATGTGTGAGATACATTGGTGGCTTCTCAAGCACCCCCAACTGGCATGTGCCCCGACTGGGAATCAAACCAGCAACCTTTCTGTTTGCAGGCCAGTACTTAGTCCACTGAGCCACACCAGCCAGGGCTAAAAACATTTTTTTAATTCTTGCAGCACACTGGCTGAAAATCACTGTTCTAATCCAAACTAAATTCTTACTATTTCATTATAGTTTTTCTAAGTGTTGCTCTGGTTCAAACCAAGAAAGATTTAGTTTGCATATTTTAGCCCAAATATGTAGGCTTTTTGGTTCTAGGGGACATTTCCTTCTTCTATTTAAGGACAAATAACGACATGTTAAATTTTGGCATATTTTCAAGAAGAATCTGAGAATAATGCAAGACTATTATTATTACTATTTTACCCAAAGAGAAGCAACAAAACTATCAATCCCCACAAGACTGACTAGAGACAACAGGCCTTCCAAGCCAGGATGCCCTTCTAATGCCTTCAAAATAGCATCAGACACTAAGATACACACACATAGAGTTTCTGGCCAGATACTACCTGCATTGGCCCTTGATCTTTTACACTAAGTCAACATTAAATAAAGCTGAGACATTTAAATGGGGTCATTATGCTGGACACATTTTAATGTTTTTTGTTGAGTGGTAAGGACTTGTGGGAATGGCACATTCAGAAAGGATAAAGAAGCCAACAGCTGTTAAGTCTGGAATAATCTTGAGTAACATATTTGTCCAATATTAAAAGGACTCTTAACATCACAGATTGTCACCAGGCAGCCTACCTGAGTTTTGTTGGCCACAGACTTTGAAATCCACAGACATGACTCTCCTTTCTTTGAGGCAACTAATGGCTAATTCAGAGCTTTGATGACCTGTTTAGAAAGTGTGTACTATCTGGGCCTGTGTGATAGACTGAATAATGTCCCCCCAAAATATCCACACCCTAAACCCTAGAACCTGTGAATTTACCTTACTTGGCAAAAGACAGTTTGCGGATGTGCCCTGGCTGAGTGGCTCAGTAGATTGGAGCATCACCCCATAAGACCAAAAGGTTGCAGGTTTGATACCCGATCAGGGCATATACTTAGGTTGCAGGTTTGATCCCTGGCCCAGGTGTGCATATGGGAGGCAACTGATCAATGTTTCTTTCCTTTCTCTCCCTCTCAAATCAATAAACATATCCTTGGGTGAGCATTAAAAACAAAAAAACAAAACAGAGTTTGCAGGTGTGATTAAATTAAGGATTTTGAGATGGAAAGATATCCTGGATTATCTGGTGAGCCCTAAATGGAATCACAAGTGTCCTTATAAAAATAAGGCAGAGGGAAACTGTACTGAAAAGATGGCAAAGAGATAATAGAAGCAGAGATTGAAATGACGTGGCCACAAGCCAAAGATCCCTGGCAGCCACCAGAAACTGAAAGAGGCAAGAAACAGAGTCTCTCCTAGAACCTTCAGAAAGAACCAGCCCTGTAAGATTCATTCTGAACTCTGACCCCAGGACTACTACAGGATAAACTTGTATTGTTTTAAGTGACTATGTTTTTGGTAATTTGTTGCAGCAGCAAAAGGAAACTAACACACCCTGTATGTTTCAGTTTGTAATTTAACCCAACTCTGTCTTACTTGACAACTGAGGCTACAGAGCCCTGACTTGCCCAAGACACTCAAGTTCTTGGAATAACCCAGTCCCCCGTCTGTAGTCAAAAGCTCTTGACACACACTAAACTTTTCACAAGAAAAGGTAGGTCAGAAGACTCCCCAGTTATGCTTGGGTAGAGAAACAAACAAAAAGTGATTTTGGAGTGGGGGTACACTGTTGAGTAGTAGCTCTTAACCTTTTGGGGAGGGTTAGGCCCCCCTGGAAAAGTTGATGGAAGCTATAGACTCTCCCAGAAAACACAAGACACACAATTTTGCATACACCTCAGGAGTTCATGGACTTCAGGTTAAGAAACCTTGCTCTGCACAGAAAAAACGCTTATAAAGAGAGGCAAAATCAAATCTATAGGTTTACAAGTATGTCTTGCCGTAGTTCTACAGACAGATTGGAGAAAGAGAACTGAGGACAGGAATTCCATGGAAGAAACTTACACAAGGTCCAGCCATTAAAAGACGGGGAAAACAAAATTCTGATTAAATAAAAGGCATTAAAGCAAAGTTCGGGGTAAAGAATGCTCTCCAATAACGAGGGAAACGAGGATTTTTGCCTTGTTTTTACTCAGGTGATCATCCTTATTTGAACCCAATTAAAAGGGTCGATTTGAAAAGGTGTCATTTATTTACTTCTGAGCTTTTTTTAAGTTGCTGGATCCTTATCTTGAATGACGATCTGCAAATGCCCTTTAGATGGGTCTAATTCTACTTGGATTCTTTGGGATTAGAGGGTATTTTAAAGCTCCTCCAAGAAAGAACTTTAAAACAAATCCAACACATGAATTAGACCAGTGTCTCATTCATCCGGGCTACTTCCATCAAATACTGACAACTGACCTGAAGTAAACATACCCGGGGAACAACTGGTTTTACAAGGAACAAAGTGTTTGCCCCCAGCAATTTGGGGTGAGCCTGGGGTAGACAAAACCCTGAGGAAGAAGTCGAGTTGAAGGGTGAGGAGAGGCCGGAGCACCAGCAGGACCTAAGGAAGGCAAGAGGATAAGGAAGGCATAAATGGAACGATAGCAGAGGAGAGAAGTCATGGGGAGGCCGGACACAACCGCGGCGCGCAGGCGGGTTCCAAACCCCGCGACCCGAGGCGCCCTCACCTCGATGGGGTAGAGCTCGCGCGGCAGCACCGACTGCATGTCCAAGAGCAGGGTGATGGGGACGTGGGAGAGGAAGTAGAAGCCCAGCAGCCACTCCAGGCCACGCCGTGCGCGCAAAATCCCCATCATTCGTTGGTTGGGCAGGGTTGCAAACGAGGAGGCACTTGCCGGGACCGCCGACGTGGTTAGAAGACCCGGGCACGCGCGCAGTCCAGTCACCCTGCGCCCGGGGCGCTCGCCCCGCCCCTTCTGGGAGCTACGTTGACCGCTTCCATTGGCTGCTGAGGAGAAGCGGGTGTCCATTGGCTCTTCTGAGTATAGCGTGTTGGGAGGTCGAGCAGGGGCGGGGCTTCTTGCCGCCACGCGGAGTGTGCGTGCCCTGCGGGGCCGTTGGGGGCTGGGCGTCTGACTGCCCACCGTGTGGGGCGCTGGGCTCAGTGGGCAGCTAGCTGCTCATTACTCTATTCATTCACTCCCTCCATTTAGTGTTTACGGAGCGCCTTCAGGGTGCTGGGCTATGGGCGTTTTTAGAGATGGAACCCCCAGTGCCGTGGGAGTGTCACAGACCGTGGCCGTCCGGGCAGTGCGTTGTGATGCGCGCCTTGCGCGGCAGTCCTGGACCGTGAGAGCACTGGGCAAGATCCTTGTCCGGCCGGAGTTGAGGAGTCCTGGAAGCCTCCCGAGGCATGCATAGGAGGCAGCCAGCCTCATCTAAAAAAGAAGAGGGTTGTGATAGGAGGTAAAATTGACAGGTCTTGGTGATTGGCTGTGGAGAATGAGGGAGGATCAAAGGTTCATTTATTCATTCAGCAGATATTGATTATATTCTGGATGCAGGCCGGCTCTGGGACAGAGTGGATGGGGCTACTTTTCGCAGAGAAGAGGGTCACAAACGAGGAGTTGAAGGGAGGGTAATTTGGTTCTGGCCATGTCGACACTAAGCAGTCCCTGCAACACCTGAGTGAAGTCCCCTAGGCATTTGGATGAACGTGTCTGGAGATTTGTGAGCATTAGCGTTTGGTGGGACTTGAAGTTCTGAGATCAGAGAGCCTGTAAGAGAACTTAGAGAAGCCCAACCTCAGGGTTCATGGGAGGCGGGAAACGAGATACAAGTGAACAACAGGAGTATGATGGTGTCACAGAAACAGGTCAGCTGTATCGACAACACTGAATGGTACCCTCTGGTGGCCCTGTGAGAGCAGCTGTGATGCAGTGGAAGCAGGAGCTAGATGACAGCAGGGCCACGAGTAAGGAAGTAGGGGAATGGAGGCAGGGAGTGTGGTACCTGGTTATGAAGGGAAGGAGAGTTGGGGCAGTAGCTGGAGGGAGACGTGCTTGAAAGACTTATTTTCAGACAAGGGAGACTAGAGCACTTTCACTTGTTTAGATGCTGTTGGATGTTTCTGGGGCAGGGGGAGAGGTTGTCCATACAGGAGGAAGAGAGCAGGAAATTGGTTTCAGGCCCCCAGGGAACTGGGGAGAATGGAAGGGTTAGGTCAGAGGAGCTCTGTGCTCCCCAGGACTGAGAAATTGTTGGTAGTGTGGGGCACCCGGCTGAGATGGGCAGCCACCGATCTGGAGGTCCCAATCTCCTAAGCTATGTGCTTTACTGTGAGGTCTGCTGAAAAAAAAAAAAAAAAAAAAGGCTGTTGGACTCATGCAGGTTGGGGTTCAGAAACACGGTGGTGATTGTGAGGAGTTGAACAAGTGACCGAAGAGATGAAGCATTCAGTTCAAGCTGCATAGGGAGTGAGCGACATGAGGCCAAAAGGCCTGGTAGAAAGTGGAAGAGCGAATGGGTCTGAGGTTGAGGAAGCAGTGCTGGTGTAATGCGAGAAACTGGATGAATGGGCCGGAACGTTGGGAGATTATGATCAGGGGTGCAATGTCTAAGCTCCTGGTGTCAGGAAGGGATTCTGTCCATGGGAAGGTGGGACCGAAATGGAGTGAAGGGGAAGGTTTTCAGAGATGAGGTGAAGGGACAGAGAGCCCAGAGTGTGGGATAGATTGACTGCAAAGACCACCTAGGATGGTGGTGGCAGGCAGGTGGAGAGGACTGTGAGCCCACTGCTAAAGTTTTGGGTATATAAGGGAGGAGCCAGGAGGCAGGCGAGCATGGGCTGAGGTATGGCTCAAACGTGAGAGAGCAGAGAGGAAATGGGTGGATGTGGTCTTGGGGAGCAGGGAGGCTGGTGACCCCACCTCCTGACCCTGAGCTTGTGGAGTGTGAGAAAATGAACAGCCTGCCCTGGAGAGAGCTGTGGGGAAGCTGAGACCTTGAGTAGAAGGAGCCAGGTGTCAGTTACTGCAGGAGGTGAAGGCTGAGGGTATGGAGAGGTTTGTTAGCTCCGTAGTAGAGTTTGGGCTCTGGAGAGGCTAGAAAGGGTTTACTAGGGAGGACAATCAGAGCAGGGTGGAAGGAGAGAGCAGCCGGAGTGGGAGGTGGAGGTTCCTTTTGGGGCACTGAGCAGGAATAAGGGTCGTGGGTGGCTGAACGCTGTCAGAACACAAAGTTCTGGCATCCCCAGGGCGTCTCAGGGGCAGCCTGGCACGCTCTGTACACAGCTGTGCGCAGGAGGGACCTGGGAACAGTGTGCCCTGCTTCCCTCCAGAACAGCTTTCAGGACATGGTAGCGCCTTTAAGCTGTGCTGCTTGCTGCGGGGAGGGGGTGTGGGATTCGCCCAGAGAACGTGGTAAGTGGTACAGCTGTTAATGTGGCTGTTCCCCAGAAAACATCTCACCCAGCCAAGTTTGTTATCTGTAGATAAAGATTTTCAAGGCCAAGCACTGTTTCATTGGAAGGCCGCTCCATCCAAATTCCTTTAATGGGGAAACCAAAGCTTTTAGTATCATGAGGTCAGGTAAGTGGTAGAAGGCAAATGGCCCTGGGGTGGAGGACATGGCTAAGCAGCAGAGTCCTCACCCAGAGCAAGCGAAAGAATGCGGGAGAAGAGGCAACACTTAGCGCCTTTTGAAAATTATTTGTATTGTGGTGAGACGAACACCACAAGCCCAACAATAGACCCGAGCTAGTCCTAGGCCCACCGCTTTCCTCTTTGGCAGCAACTCTACAAAGCTTTTTCTTCTCTTTGCTTTTGTTTCATTTTTCTCTCTCTTTAAAATGCACCCACCCGGCCCCGGCCACATAGTGTCATCTCGATACACCAAGATTGCGTATTTGATCCCCAGTCAGGGCACATACAAGAATCAGCCAGTGAATACATAAATAAGTAGAACAACAACGTGATGTTTCTTTCTCTGAAATAAATTTAAAAAAAAAAAAACTTTAAAATGCACCACCCTTCTCATAACCCCACTACCCAATCCCTCAAAATACTCTAAGGCTTAACTGAAGGCTGCCTCGCCTAATGGCCCTGATTTGGTGGCATTGCTGCCCTCTCAGAACCTCTTCTCTGACATGTTTATTCCTTTCACTCTGAGCAACTTTGATCTAAGTACCTTTCCTGTTACACTGTTCTTTAACAGCAAAGATTGTCTTTGTATCTTTATTTGACTAACACAAAGATGGAGCCCTTGTTGAGTGAAATAATTGTGAAACTCAGATCCCTCTGCTACAGGGAAAATGCCACACAGTAAAATTGTGAAAGCAACACTGGGCATAAGAACAGACAACCAATGGCAAGATGGAGCTATATCGAATTTCAAGAGGTTCTGTTGCTAATGGAAAATGGTGAAGACCTGGAAAGCCGCTGAGACTCTAGAATCAGCAGATGGCTTCACACCTCAAAGCCAAAACACTATACATATATTCATCAGCAAAAGTTAAGATTCTGTTAGCCCTGGAGGTGCAGCAAGGTGGCGGCGTGGGGGATTCAGAATCATCTCTCTTGACAGAGGGCAGTGAACCACCTGTATTGAGTGATTACTTCCTTTTCATATCAAAGAACCTGTGAACTTGGGTGGAGGGATGGTAGGTGAGGATTAACCCTGAAAGACTTAAGTTTAAAATTTGGATATTTTGTGGTTCATAGATCTTTTTGCATTGTTTTAAAATATTGCATTAAAATGTTTATCCTAATTACTGAGTTATTTTGGTGCCCATCTAAGTTTTACCTCACTCTAGTCCCAGCCCTGGTTGTCACCAGGTAGTGGAGAGGAGGAGTCCATGACTGGGTCTAAAAAGCTAAGAGTGAATAGATTTGACACCAGAGCAGTAGGGAGACAGTGGGAGACCTTGAGCAAGGAAGTTTGGGAATACAACAGTGTTTGAGAAATATGACATCTGTCTGGAAAAAGTCCAGCCATTGTTAATATAACGAGAATGGTTTGCAGTTTACTGGCAAACTGGCAGCCAAGGAGAGTGGACTGGAATGCACACGCGTGAGCAGTGATGGCTTCACTGTACTAGTGAGTGGGGGTGGTAGATGCCATTGAGTAAGTGTACTGTGTGGTTGTTGCGTTAAAAATGACTGAGTAGATGAGCAAATCTCCATCAAATTTTGTATTAAGCTTGAATGTTCTTCCCCAGAAACTATTCGGATGATTGAGAAGGCCACAGCTTTTGGGCAACTGGTGATTGGCAGCTTCATCACAACACTGCGCCTGCTCATGCAGAATTTTTTGCAAAACATCTAATCACCCAGGTGACACAGCTCCACGACAGCCCAGATTTGGCACCCTGCGACTTCTGGCTTTTCCCAAAACTAAAATCACCTTTGAAAGAGAAGAGATTTCACACCATCAGTGAGATTCAGGAAAAGTCGACAGGGCAGATGATGGTGATTGGGAGAACTGTGTGAGGTCCCAAGGTGACTACTTTGAAAGGGACTGAGGTGTCACTGTCCTATGCACAATGTTTCTTTTACTTCTTCAATAAATGTCTCTATTTTTCATATTACATGGTGGGATACCTTCTGGACAGATCTTGTATTCACCTGGTCCCACTGTGCAAGGTGGATGGGTGGGGAGTGAAGTCTGGAAGCAAGATACAGGAATTTGTAAACTAGGCTCATGTGTTTCCAGTTTAGCAGCTAAAAAAGGGAAGAGCTGGAGGTATTAGGATCAGGCTTTTTTCCAAGATAGATGTGTCTCAAATACACTTGGTGGTGGAAGTAAAGGGCCCATTTAATGGAAGAGTTAAAAGCTCTACTCACTTAAAAAGTGCCTACTGTAAACTAGAGCAGGGGTTGGCACATTTTTATTATAGACAGACAATAAATACTTTAAGCT